CCTTAATCAGAGCAAAAGTGAAAATATTGTATTTTATAACCGTAGTAGAAGTTATATGTGGTACTTAATATTCGATGAAAAATCAAGAGTATTTTGGCCGGACCAGTAAAATATGTACATAATACCCGGAAGTACGTTATATCTCATGTACGTTATAAACGGAGTTTACTGTAACAGTGAACGATAATGAAGAAACGCTGACGGAATTATGCCAAAGCAATAAAATACTTGATGGCTTCTATAAACATAAATACGTTCAAACAGGGTGAGTCAACCATAGAGTAAAGTTCATTATCTCATTGGTTTCAAAAGTTATGAGAAAATGATAAAGATTTTTAGGATCTACAATTTAAAATTATCTAGAATATACAGGGTGGCTCATAAAAGCAAGTTTTCCAAATGCAACTTTGATTTGATTTGAATTCGTTGGTAACCTCCAATTGACATTTGTTAGTCGACACACACACAGCCTAAGGTTTTTTAAATCAGTGTGCTTAATTCTCAACGGAATTAGCTGGTATTTTACACATAGAAGTCATCGTTACAAAGAAAAAGTGTTTCAGAAATCTGTCACTAGAGGGCAGTTTGCCTAGAACATTGTTTTTATTTTCCCTGTATTTTATTTATTTAGACTGATATTTCAAAATGGCCTTAAGCAGAATCACAAATCTTCAAAAATTGTTACTCTTCTTTTAAGTCTTTCATTTCTATACATTTTAAAAAATGCTGTAGAACACAGAAAAATACGCCTAACCTATTTCTAATGATTTCGCCACCGTTCATTTTTTTTGTCGTAGATCATTGAGATCTGTTATAGATATTTCATACACTAAAGACTTTAAGTGCCCCCCAAAAAAGAAATCCATCGGATTAATCCATCGGTGAGTGGGATGGCCAAGATAGACGTCCGCCCGACCTATCCATCGATGTTCAAGTGCCTGATTTAAATATCTTCGTACAGCCAATGTAAAATGGGGTGGAGCGCGATCTTGCATTAATCACATGTTTCGTCTCCACTGCAAGGGTACCTCTTCCAGCAGAGGTGGTGGTTAAAGTTAAAGAAATGAGGTCCTATAAGATTACCTCCAATAATCCCTCCCCAAACATTTAAAGAAAACTGGCGCTGATGTTTTCCTTCAATTTTTTCATGCGGGTTTTCCCCGTTCCACTGATGTTCCTCGTCTCTACGGACTCCCACAGATCCACAAACCAGGATTACCCCTTCGACCTGTTGTCAGCACCATTGGGTCTGCAACATATTCTCTAGCAAAACATCTAGCTTCCTTATTAAAACCCCTTAGCTGAAGTTTCGTACATAATTCCTTTCACTTCATTGAACAATTAAAATGCATTACATTAGATACACAGATATTCTAGTTAGTTTCGACGTAGAATCCCTCTTTACCAATGTTCCTATACCTGAAACTCTCAACATCATTTCAGATATATTAAAGTCCGAGAATCTGGAACCAGACCTTCTCACCTTAATTGAAAAATGCTTGTCTAGAAAATATTTTTTTTATAACGGTAAAATTTTTGAACAAACGTCGGGAACAGCTATGGGTTCTCCACTACCACCAGTCATCTCGAATATATTTATGGAAGCCTTCGAGACACCTCGACACCTTTCATCTAAAACCAAAATTATGGAAACGCTACGTCGATGATACTTTTGTTACTTGGTCTCATGGTCAATGAACCCTAGTAGATTTTCCTAGACATTTACACTCTACACACCCTAACATACTTTTTACCATTGAGGTGGAAACTAATAATAACCTTCCATTCTTAGATATTCTTATCAATAGAAAATCAGACCTAACATTGGGTCATTCTGTTCAGAGAAAACCTACGCACACAGACCGATACTTTACCATCCGGCCCAAAAATCATCGGTTATCAACTCTCTTGTTTACAGAGCCATAAAACTATCTCAGCCCGAGTCGTTGAATCTAGAACTAAAACACCTTACCTCTGCTCTTATCTCTAGTAATTTACACATTATATTATATTAAGCCTTCCATCAAACAATACACTTCACCACAACCTTCCAATAGCAATGAGGCCGAAATCAATCCTACACTTGCCACTGTGGTCCTTCCTTACATTCAAAACATCACTGACCACTCACTGACATATCAAAGGTTCTAAAGAAGTATAACGTCAAAACCAGATTTACCACTTTTCCAAAAATCTGTCAACATCTTCGATCTGACAAAGACAAAATTCCATTTGAGATGCCAGGAGTTTTCAGCATTTCATGCATGCGCGGCAAAGAATACATTGGAGAGACCGGATGAAAAATATCAACTAGGCTCAAAGAATACGCAAGAGTCTTACTACTAAGACAAATAAACTCATCATCTGTTGCCGAACACAATCACTAAACCAGATATAAAATTTTATTCGATAGAACTAAAATTCTTACATGTAATCAATTCTTCTGCCAAGGAAAAATCTGAGAGTCTATAGAAATCTATAAACAGTCTAACAATCTTAACCGCGACTCAGATCTCTACCTGTCACCAATATGGGAATCAGTCATCTGAGACGGTGTTAACGTCCCTCATTTAGCTCCGCCCCCCTCGAACAGAGTACAGAGTAAAACGCGAGGCAGTTTCAGTCAAGCTCTGAAGAAGCCAACAGGATGATTGGCGAACCGTTAGCAAGTTCGACTCAGCAAAAACCGAACCAGGAGGAATTCAAAAGTTTTGTCTGTCGTCTCTGATTTGACTGCCTCGACTTGATTCGGTTTGGAAAAATTAATACCTAATACCTTAATACCTAATTAATACATACCTGAAGCCAGTGGTTTTTTCAATATTTTATTTTTTCTAAAATAATACTAGTTTTCACACTTGCAAAAAAATTACAATAGCGCTATTATTTTTGAAGGCGGTTATTCAAAGATGAACGGAATTCGAATTAGATGCTACTAAGTATTCAAAATTCACGAATATGTGGATTTTCTTAAATAGTTTACCATATAGATACATTTTTTTTTAAAGGTCTTACAAAAACCTACAACTTTTGTTAAGTATGTCTGTCCTATACCTATTTTTTATACTTTGCGATTTATTTTAACTTTTCCAATATCTACTCTTTATCTCTAAATTATTAGCCAATAGGGCTTTGTCCATATTAAAAAATGCACAGGAGAAAGAACTTTGTTGAAGCCGTAGATTAAGCAACAAATAGTTAACATATCGCCGCAAAAATAAAGCTGGTATTAAGTCACATTATTCAATCGATGAATTCACCCCTACCGATACATTTCACATTTTTGTGGGTATGACTCGATGGTAATGAGGGGGAGCTGAAACCACTCTTGTTAGATATCAATATTGTTAACTTCTAGAAGAATACCTCAACTTCTGCCATCATCATTCTGCAAAAAAATTAAATATCTAGGTCCGTTAAGTGGTTCGCGAAAAAAATGTTGGCCAATGATCTTTATGTGTTGAACATTAAGTGAGTGGTTTTGGTTTTGCCCTTCCTATACGCAGATAAGAAAAATAATGCTAATGTTATGACGATTAACGGCACCATTACTGCGAAAAGTAACTTCATCTGAAGACATTATTTTATACAAAAATTTGGATCGGCCTCTATTGCTCTGTTGGTTTAGAACATCTTGTGCATTTCCGTATCGAATGGATGATATTTGTGTTTTCTAGTAGTGCGATTAACGGTGGATTGGGATGTATCACATAAGCTAGCAACTTGACGGATACTGACTTGGGGATTATGTTTTTCCTTATTGGCAGCATTCCGGTTTATCACTTTCTGTTTTTCATATACAATACTACCACTAGCATGAAACTGTTCCATTAAACACTAGAAATTGTCTAGTTGATTTTATTTCGCTTTACGAAAATCCAAATTAATTTTTTTTTATTTACTGACACCATAATAAATTTTTTCTACTCCCGTCTGTAAAATACCTAATTACCCATCGATCTAGCGTGCGGGAAGCGTCACTTTACCACATCAGTTTCGTTTCCCATGATTCCGAGCCACTTCGGACATTTCCGGGATTTTACCGTACGGATTTGGAAGCAATCGGATGTTTTCGGAGATATTTCCCACGCTTTGAATTTTGACGTTTGTCAATTCTGACAGTCATGTCAGTGAATGTATTCTTGTTGTTTTGAGAAAATGTACCCAAAAAATAACGGTCGTAGAAAAAGTATAGTATGCAACACGTTCGGTAAACTTTTTAACTCGTTTATTAAACACTCGCTCCGCTCGAGTCAAATAAACTGGTGAGTCAAATGCCGTTTACCGCACTTGTTGCATAATATACTATTATGAACTTGTTTACTCAGTTCTCAGCCTGTATACTTTATACTTTACTTGTATACTTTCACTAATCACACACATCGAACGAAAACGACTAATATGGTATGATCACTAACCAAGCCAACCAAACTAACCAAAACCGTGAAAGAAAACGTAGAAGGAGTTTTAAGGGCAGAGAGCTCAAGAAATTTCAGAGAAGATCAGTGGAATGATGGAGGATTATGGAAAGCGTCGGACAGCATCGAAAGACGATTTTAAAAACCGATTATATATATGTTTATCAAATTAAATAGCCACTAGAAATTTTTTTCGCAATTCGAAAAGTCACCAACAAGCCTAGAGAAAAGAAGAAGAGGGAGACATAGTATCTACGTTATATTTTTGGTACAATGCTTGTGGCGCCCTTGATAATTACCGGAATAATTACGTACCTTATCTTACTGCAAATCTAATAATAAATTAGCTACTCTAAAATCGATATTTTTATGATTACAATTATTATTGCTCTATTTTCTATATAAAGAACATGTTTTGTTTAGTGTCTTTAATTTGAGAAAATTTTTATCTAAGCATTTCCAGATTTCATCATTAATTAAACATGTTTTATTAACTAACTTCATTAACACTAGCAAAGATTGAAAGGTGCCTTCTTTTTTTTTATTGGAGATACGTCTAAAGCAATTTCACCTTTGTTTCAGTTGCACCGTAGTACTGTTCAACACGAAAACCGAACAGCAGAATCACATCATCAACACCAATAGGAAAACCATAACGTCTCTAGCGTATTCGTCATGTGGAAGATACATAGTAACAGGTAAGTGATACAGATAGATTTAGCTTCGAGGATGAATTTAAAAAATCTTAAATCTTTGTTAAAGCAAAAGTGGAAAACTTCGCTATAGAACCAACTGATCAGCGCTCTATTAGATCTAGAAATAAACAACTTTGGCATGATAGTAAAACGCCGAGTCCTCAGTTACAGCTTTGTTTATTTCTTCGATTGCTTTATGTGGTTTGTCAGGACAGATGTTCTTTATTGTGCGAACATCTCCCGCATTTTTTCGGAATTCCAACGGATTTCAGGGCACGTCCAAACTCTATAAGCCGGATATAAAATGACCTTCATTTAAATTTCATCTCATACACCCATCAGTTTACTAGTCATTTATGGGGCATTTATGTCATTTAAGAGTGTAGTAGATATTTCTTAGTGACAAAACATTTTTTATTTATTACATTTTTCGGATTTACATTTACGCATATTTTATGATGATACATAAATAAATAAGATAACAAAGCACAACAAACTCTTGTCTTATGGCAGGTACAGGAACATAAGAAATTTCAACTTTTCGTTTTGAAATATAAAAAATAAATAAATGAGACTGAGAATATTCCCCAATTTAACTAATTTCATATCATTATGACAATCTGGATCAATCTTATTGTTAGATATTTCCGTCATCTCTTCGCATTCGCCGCAATCTTATTCGGGACCCTCTTGCACTGTAAACTAAAGTTGAAGTTTGAAGGCCCCAAAGGATTGTTCAGACTATCATTAAGTAGGTTATGGCGAACGTATTTTAATTTTCAATTATGCTCAATTGCTAATCTATATCTCCGTTTATTGGTGATAAACCCTTGGCTGAACTTTCAGTGGATGAAGAAGTTGGTGGCATTGTAAGTACAGCGATATTTACTTTCTTTAAAGAGAGATTTGAGCATATTGTATATATTGTATATATTGTATATTGTATTGTATATTTGTATACCAGTCAAAGTAGGTAAAATGCTGAGGCTCTTGGTCTTATAACCGACTATGCCATCGCAAATCGTATCGACTATAGAATTTTTAAATCTAATAGCCTCAAAGTAATCTTTTTACAGTACGCAATGACTGACTTAAGAATATCCGAAGTAAAAACGAGAAAGAGTAAGGGTCCTAAGATGGAACCTTGCTTCAACCAATTTCTTTAATTAGTTATAATCCATTGTAGTTCCACTGGAATTTCCTGGAATTCTCGTCTAATGCCTTTGAATTCCTTCATATCGTACACCAGAGTACCGCTGAGGTTTACCCCTCCTCGGTGGTTGCCACAGTTTATAATTGAGACCAGCAATACTTGACAATTCATATGGTTAAAACTAATGAACCGGAATGCCTCAAAAATCATTTCTTCGTTGTTGTAGGAGAATGCGGTCATCAACCGGCTGTACGGGTGTGGGACCTGCAATCGGAACTCCAGTCCAGTCATCCCGGGCTCGCCCCCCAACCCCAACAAGTCGCCGAATTTATTGGTCACAAATACGGCGTGAATTGCGTGGTAAGAACGGGATGGCAGCCTTTATCTTCGGTACAACCTCAATTTTCTAGGCATTTTCGTCTACGAGCAAATACGTCGTGAGCGTTGGGACGCAGCACGACATGATAGTCTGCGTCTGGGACTGGAGAAACAACGTCAAGGTAGCCAGCAACAAGGTCAGCACCAAAGTAAAGTCGATCGCATTTGCGGAAAATGGCAGCTACTTCGTCACCGTGGGTAACCGGCACGTGAAATTTTGGTTCTTGGAGCAGGGAAAAACCAAAGTGAGTTAAACCGAGTGATATTGTTCAGTTTTCGAACGATAGCGGCTCAACTACGCGGCCAACATTTCGGTGGAGGGGGTAGTTTACTTAGTGCCACCACTACTACTGCTGTCGTTGGGGAACTGACCGGTCGCTAACTACTACAAAAGTATCAGAAAGTTACAGAGCAATGAAACCTAAGGATAATAAAAACATAATAAAAAATTGGAATTAGGTGAATTATGTCCGGTACCCCTATTTTTTATAAAAGATAATAACATAGGAGGATCTGCCATCTCCTGTTGACTTGATAATTAACGGGTATAATTAATTTTCTATATGTCTTCCAATCGGTCTTTTTACCAGTCGATATCTTGCGTAATTCAGATCTGTTATTGAATCAGCCATTTCTTTCGCTTTCAATATGGTCGATTATTACTCCTGACGCCACTTTAAACCATTTGGCAGGCATGAAAATTTGACTAGCATTGATTATATTTTTGTCTTATCTTTTAATCCAGGCGTTTTTGGTTAGTTAGTAACAGTTTCTTTTCTCTGATTGAAACCTTCATTTTGCTCCCGTGTTCATATGGAAACTTTTAAAATGAAACTGGCCAATAAAAGTAAGATTCATTATTAATTATACTGCCTGAGAAGCGTTTGCCAATTTAATTTTAATAATTTATATGAAATTAATCATATCTTCTATATTTCTCCTGTATCGGTTGTTGATGAATCCAACTGGCTGACGTTTCGCTAATCATCACGAAACTGGTTCCCATTCTTACTCTACCTGCTTACATACCGTTTGAGGAGGCGGAGCTATAGGAGGGAACGATAGCTTAATGTATTATCACATCAGTGTCCTGCTTAAATGTTTTCGTTTATCAACTTTCTCGTTTACAGATACTATCTCAACCCAAATCACTGAATCCAGAATTAATAATGTCACAAAATACACTTACCACAACCTCCCAAAGAAAATGGCATTGGAATCAACCCTCCACTTGTCAACTTCTTAAGAAGTAAATGTTAAAACCATATTTACCACTTGTCCAAAAACCTCTCAACATCTTCGATCAATGAAAGACAAAATTCCGTGTGAGATGCCATGCAAAAATATCAACTAGGCTAAAATAAAACAAACTCATCATCAATTGCCAAACACAATCACGTATTTAATCGCACATAAAATCTTTTTCGATTAAACTAAAATTTTTGCATGTAATCAATTCTTATACCAAAAAAAGAAAAACAGAGATTGCATGAAAATTTCTTAACCATCAAACAATCTTAAACTCGTCTCAGGGGTTTACCGCCCACCAATGCGGGAATCAGTCATCCAAGATAATGTCCCTCCTTCAGCTCCACCCCCTTAAACTAGGTACATAGTACGTAGGTACACATGTTATGGATTTCTCCTGCGTCAGGTGTTGATTTGATGATTGCTCTGCAAGAATGAGCCTTAATTGCTTAGCGGTTGACTAGAAACCAGAAAACTTGTACCTAGCAGTTCTATAGCCTGCGGAAGGTTCTTTGAAAAATTAATGTACAGAATAGAATAAAACTAGTTTTAGTTAAGCTCCAAAGAAGCCAACCGGGTGATTGGCAACATGTCAGCAAGTTCAATCTACAACAGACGCAGAATCTAGAAGGTTTGCGTATAATATTATAGTAGCTTGCGAACGTTTTTGAAAAAAAACTATAAAACTTATCTTATGTCTTAGTGAGCTTCCGGATCGGTCTAATTAAAATGAAATTTTTTCTAGCACCCACACGAAGTAAAATTTTGTTCTTCCTTTTGTCGTGATTGTATGGTAAAAAACAATATTTGCTAAAATAGCTCGTTGAAAATGGTCGTAACTCTAAACTTCTTCCAGAAGAAGAAAAGAGTACCCTCTGGCTGCAACAAATATAATGTTAATTGATTTTAAAGAAACTAAAACACGCTCACTAGTAGCTTGCAGATTTCGAAACATTTGCCAATTATATCTATCTATCCATTATGTCTTCACAACTTCCCTCCTTTAACTATGAGGCCCCTCTATTTTCGAGGAACTCATTGCACTGCACGTCCTCAAGAGCCTATCATGGAGGTTTTCGTTCACCTACTTATCCTTTGCTCCCTGATGGTGCGCAGCTGATCATCAAATGAATGTTAGCTTTCGAACAGCGCTCATCCTGAATACCGCGTTATATTTTAGTATAAAGAAGCCGTACCTCTCATGGGTCGATCTGCGATTTTGGGCGAGCAACGGAACAACTACTTCTGCGACGTCGCGTGCGGCAGAGGCGAGTCCGGGGACAGTACTTACGCGATCACCAGGTCGGGATTGTTGTGCGAGTTCAACAACAGACGTTTGCTCGACAAATGGGTGGAGTTGAGGGTAAGCTTACGCAACTTGCCTTCCAAGGTCCGAGCTCATCGCTTCGCGTTTTAGACGACCAGCGCCAATTGCATAACCGTTGGGCAAAACCATATTTTCGTGGGATGCGCTGAAGGCATTATCAGGTGTTTCGATCCCTCCACCCTCAGGTTCATCACCACCCTGCCCCGGTGTCACTATTTGGGTGTGGACGTGGCTTTAGGAACCAATATACAGTGAGTATTTGGTGCATTGCCATATAGCACGAAGCAAAATATATCGTGAAAGTTTGAGACCTTTTTAATTTTTTAGTGCCGATCTCATTATTGCATCAAAGCAACCAAAACTTAGAAATAAAAATATTTGTCTAAATATATGTTTGCATGAAATTTAAGTCTCTACAAATACAATATAACATCTAAATAGGCAAAATATTGATTTATAAATGGTATATATTATAAAATTATTCAGGATTGAACTGGAGGAATAAATATTCAAATTTTTAATACAATCAATATATTTATTAAACTAGGTATATTATTTTATTATTCTTCCTTTTACTGCATGCATTTAATTAAATCTAATGTTGGACACACTCTTCAAAGAGCTCATATTTTATTTTATCTATCCGCAACGCAATAACATAAACTACATCTACAGCCAGAGACAACCATCCCGAGCTCAATAAAGACTAAACTTTAACCATAAAAGACTACAATAATATTTTAAGGTAATGTCTTATTGTTGGAAAGCAGCAGTGCATTGCAAAGTGCCGTCCACTAAAGTGTTTCTACAACAGTGTTTCAACAAACATCCTAAAAATAAAGAAAAGACACGCTGATGCCAGTTCATTTGTATGTAGTACTATAGAAAATGTTTTCAAAACTATGCAATTTGGCACTTACATCGAGTTGTTTGTATATTCTGTGGTTTTACCGGCACTCTTGCCGAATCATAGAATACCAAGGTTAGTTTCGGTTCAAGTTAAGATTAAGTGCGGGTTTGTAAAGTCAAATAAAAAAAGTCTTCTTTAAAATAAGGATTAAGAAAAACTTCTTCTCGGGCAAGGATTTATGCTAGCTGGCTAGCATCAAAAATTATTACTGCTTGCATAATGTTGACAATGAAGTGTTAGTTTCGGTATATCATTTATTAAACTGAAAAAAATATTTTGCTAATACTGGAAAGAAATTGTTTATCAGTTAGTGAAACTCGTAACGAATACCAAGAAATAGAGTAACTTTTAACCTTTTATTTAAATTTTAACATATTTCCACATATCTATTCTGCGAAGAATTAAGAGTTGAAAATTGAGGAAACTTGTGTAATCATTAAAATGGCCTCTGAAAAACAACAATGGATTTCACAGACGTGGGAGCATGTAAAATGGTCATTTTGTACCTGGCTTTAAAACTTTTTTCAGGCACATGGCTTCCCCACCTCCGGACGCAAAGTATCCCGACACAAGAGCTATCACTTTCGACGAGTCTAACCATAAACTAACAGCGGTGTATAACGATCATTCGATATATATTTGGGACGTTTCGAATATCAGGAGGGTAAAAATCAACTCCAGAATATCCTTTAAAAGGCACTTTAAAAGTATTTCCGTAGGTCGGAAAGTCGTGTTCGTTTCTGTACCACTCGGCTTGCATTTGGGGCGTCGAGATGGCGCCACCGAACAGCCCATTGCCGCCCGGCTCCTTTTTAACTTGCAGCTCCGACGATACGATCCGAGTTTGGACTCTCGACAAGCTCAACGAGAAAACTACCAAAGGAATGTACCAGCAAAATATCTATAGCAATGTAAGTAATGTATGGTATGGACCAATTTCTTCTACAACACATTCGACCTTGCTCCATTTCCTTGCTAAACTGGCGAGAAATTATATATATAATTTTTGAGGTTATGTTTCTGTTGATATGTTCGGTAGTACATGTGTATGTACTTTGGCTTGTATACATAGTGGGATTGTACCGGACAATTTTTTAACCATTAAAGACGCAGGGAAAAAGTGTTGTATATTTACATTGTAACTTCTTGTAAAATTGGATGTAAATGTGCTGGGAGGAGAATACTGTTCTCTGTAGAATTTAGTTTTTCTAAAATATTCGTTAGTTCACCCCTTATAATCTAATTCTGGTAGCTTCATTTCGCTATGTATTACCCTCAGGTTATGGAATATTAAATTCTTCTGTTTTTTTTTTTAATCTGGGTTGAATTTGGTATTGAGTAATGCTGAGTCAGTACCGACAATTTTATAAATACTGATGAAATTTCTGATGGTCAGCTAAAAGTAGCATTTTCAAAAATTTAATTTCTAAAATGTTACTGTTCATAAGGAAATACAAGGTTTTCTATAAAAAGGATCTCTAAAAGGTAATGCCGTATTTAATACGTAATGCTATGGTCAATTCTAACAGAAAAAAATAACAGAAATTTTAATAATAGAAAAAGGTATGACCTAATTTGTGTAACATTTTCCTGAAAACCGTTAAGAAAATAAAAAGTAATTAGAAATGACCCAAATTTTACAATCTACATAAACCCTGCACAGATAAACTTACACTCCGGTTCTAGATGTAAGATTATTTAGTTTTTTCACAAAAAGCTCGACATCTTTTAACAGGATAGTTCTAACCTTATTATAAAGAGGACATTGCAAAGTTCAGTTATTGCCATCGAAAGTGTTTTTTTTTTAATAAGTAAATTTAAAAATTAAAAAAAACAATTTTGGTGAAAAATATACTGTTATACCCCTGTACAGAGTGAAGGTCTAAAATATGGAACAAATCCATTTAAGAATCAGGTATTTGGAATTTCAAGAAAAATGGTGGCACGCTATCAGTTTTAAAACCCTTACGAAACAAACTAATTTGCGTTATTGGGTATTTAATTCTAAATTTTAAATCATCTAAACTTTTTGGTTTTTGCTTATACTGTGCAGTGGATTAATATTTGGAGATCTTGCAGGCCATTATATTGATTCCATTCTACAAATTCACTGTGTGGGAAATATCTTATTGGTCTGCCAATCTGATTTGGATTTGGGAAAGGATACCTTTTTGAGTGAGATTTTAATCAAAAGAATAATGTTCAATAATTTTCTCTCATCCATCGGGGATTATTTACCGTACTAACGTTGCTGTTCGGTGAACAGTATCTGGCGATGAAAAAATGTTGGACTTAAGTTGCACCTCTCCATTATAGTTTCACAAAACTGTAGTCTGAGGTCAGCATTATCTTCAGGTAGCTCCCGTATTAATGTATTCTTGTACGGATGACACTTTTCTTCTTTTAATACACGCAAAGCTGTTCATTGACTAACATTTTTATTTGAAGCAACTTTCAAAGATGGACGATGAGGATTTTCCTCAGCTTCCAATAGAATGTTTAATCTTGTGTTCTCGTTACTTTTTGTTTCTATAATTTTTTTCTCAATTTTACTAAGTGTAGGTCTTGTGGATCTGGATATTTTGCGTTAAACCAATTACATTTTTTTTTTGAGTTCTCATTTTGTCTCTTTATTCAGTAAAAATAAAACTGTCAATTCTCTAGTGTTCATTTAGATTTAATGTAATGTAATTGCGGCAATTTTAGTAATTTTACTGGTACTAACTACTTATTTACAATTACTTTTTAACCCTGTACTTCAAAAAATACCTGATTTTTCAATGAATTTATACCATATTTAACCGTTTACTGTATATACAATTTTACAGGAAAAAAAGTCTAAATTTTATCTTTCTTGTATCTTCTTGAAGGCCATTTTCACCAGAAGGGACCGCAACTTTCATAAAAATATTACTCACAAACCTCCGAACACGTATTGACCTGTGCGTAGCAAAATTTTGGCTACCTTAAAGATTGTGCATTCACCTAGACTAGAATTAAGATACTACTTTGCGGTTAAATAGAGGAAAATATATAGAAAAAAATAAATAAGAACTAAAAGTTCAGATTTTCACGAAATTATATATTTTGACATGACAATTGTTTCGACAACACCGTGTCTTTATCAAAAAACATTAGATAAAGACACAGTGACATGGAGACCTTTATAATAATTGTTTTGCTGCCGTCACTAGAATTCCAATCGTTGAGCGTAAAATTTAATTTTAGGAATTGTTAAAAGTAGTTTACGTGGACAAAGATCTGTCTTACATCAAAGATCTCGACATGTCCGGCACGATATCAAACGAGAAGCAACCGGAACAGACGACCTACGACGGAAAAAACGGAGTCAGGTGCATTAAGGTCAGTCCGGACGGTAAACACTTAGCTTCCGGCGATCGGTCGGGTAACATCAGGATCCACGACACGGCCACCATGAGGGAACAGTTCAAAATCGAGGCCCACGACTCTGAAGTGCTGAATCTAGAGTACTCGGCACCGGACTCGAACTACAGTTTATTGGCGAGCGCGAGTCGCGACAGGCTCATCCACGTTTTCGACACCAAACAGGTATGGTCTGTTCATAGATATAAGAAAGTGACTATCTGATACGAATTAAGGAAAGACCCGGGCAAGCTGTATGAATGAAATATGGCTGAACTTTGCTTAGAATTTAATTATTTGGGGTTTTGTTGGGAATTACAAATTATTTGTATTACCTAATTAAATTACTTAAAATTATTCACATCAGTATCACTATCGCTATCATCGACTGTTCTAATTATTAATTGTTCTATATTATTTGCAATATGGATGTACGATTGTTCTGCTTTTTCTATATGTTTAACAGAATTTGCCCAACTTTGTGGAGGGATGTTAAAAACTTCGGTTACTATAAATTTGAGGACATTGGAGTTAACACGGGGAAAACATTGTTACGACGAATGGCATATCTCAGTTGATGCCAAACATTTTCAAAGGGATTAAATATACAGTGGTAAGGTGGAAACCTTAAAACTGTATGCCCTAGATTTTTTGAATAATTATCACAAACGTATTCCTTTTGTACGTTCAAGCTTTGTAGAACCTCAATTAATTGCTTTTTGGTATAATCTTCGTAAAAATAAATGGCGTTATTATACATGCAGTTTTGGATTGTTGCTTTTGTGTCACATGAGGAGGCGGTTTTAGTCAACTGTCTACTGTAATAACTTGCATTGTCCATTACAATTACGCTACTAGTTTGTTTTTAAACCAACTTTCAAATGAATCAGCGGTGGTGTCTTCATGGTAATCCAGAGAAGAATCTTTAATATTTTTCGCAGACAGTGAAAGTTCATTTGGAATCCAACCATCTTTAGAGCCAGCATGCAAAATAGTTATTCTTTTACCTCTTTTTGATAGCGCGTTTGTTTTACACTTATCAGTTGAGTCAACCCAAACCTTTTTCGGGGTATCATACGTGTCGAACCAGGTTTTCTGTAAATCCTAATTTTGTCTAGATATTGCAGTCACAATTTCCGAATTTTAAAAGATTCCATTATAACTTACCTTTTGTCAATTTTTTTAACTGTAAAACCCATGTGTTGAATACACTTCCATAAGGTAGTTCTGCCATATTTAACACTGGTTTCATCTTTTTCAAGTCTCCTAGTTAAGATATCTAATGTAGGCACGCTTTGTTGCTCTTATAACTGGTAAATTTTACGCCGTATTATATCTTGATCACTTTCTTCTACACTCGAGAAAATGTCAGCATCGCTTCTTTTTTTCCTCGCTGAAATGGGATTATTCACAATTTTCCATACAGTTGATGTTGGAATTTTCGTCAACGTGGCCGTTTCTTCTAAAGATGCTTGCCTGCTGGCACCACGTTCGATGAGAATCAAATAAACATTGTTTATCACTTCTTTAGTCTCAATTGAATAGTGTTTTCTACATTTGGGCGGGAGCGTCTCCTGAGATACACTAGACTCGCACATATTTTGCATAATTCGCACACTATTCAACACACGCTGTGTTACACACGAAATAAGAATGATTAAACTAAGTAGTATACCAAACTAAAGAATATTAAACACAGGTAGGTATAAAATTATTTTCTATTAGGGACCACAATTTTACCTGAATTTAAATTCCGAAATTTTAGGTAATAATCGTGTTGCATCGTATGTTAATGACAACCCTTGGATAATCCCATTCAAAAGCAATTGGTCACTTTCTTATATATATGAACAGAGCATAACCGTCGTCAAAGATGGCGGATTTCGGGCATTCTTAACTCATATCGACTGATTTAAGGGCTACGATTTCGTTCAAACGTTGGACGACCACTCCTCCAGCATCACGGCGGTTCGGTTTTTGAACCACTCCAACAATATCCAGATGGTGTCGTGCGGGGCGGACAAGAGTCTCATATTCAGGTCGCTGGGAGAGGTAGGGTTTATGCAAAAGTTTTGAAATTAATTAGTTATTCGCCGGGGTTTCTAAGTCCACTTCATATGGAAATTATTGCAATCGTTAAATTTGAATGCTCAAATGCTATAAAGAAAATCATTGATTTATTTATTTGAATAACAATATCCATCAACTATACGGGGACTTTTGTTTTTTTCACATAGGATTTAAACTAACGAAAGGATTTATCGATTGACTTGACTGAATCCATGTGCACATCAATAACTTAATTAAGTTTTTTTTAATAAAAAACCGAATAATTTTTATATACCTTGGTATTTTTTTGTATAGGGCAGAGAATACTTGTAAAAGATTATTTAAATCAACCTAGATGAAGTTTGTGCGATATATTTTATTTAGTTTTTTCGGTAAGTTTCATATTTATGTATATAGAGGATGTATTCTAAAAGGTACAATATATGTTATTAAATGTTTATGGCAAACATAAAATTAGCATTATTGAAACAAGTTGGCAGGTTTTGAAGTTTGTAGTTTTTTTTTTCAATTTATATAGTTTGGTCTCCAAATTCTTTAAAAATATCAGCAGACCTTGTAAAAACTGATAACACATTTTGATTTTTATCAAATTTATTTTGCAACTATTTTTTGCTAATTGGTCAAAGTGTACATTTTTATCAATATCGTAATTAAAAATTGTTTTTTTATTCATAAAAACCGATTACTTTATACACCTAGTTATTTTTTTTTTTTTAAGGACAGAGCATAGTTGAAAAATTTAAAGCTCAATATTTTTCTTTCGAAATATTTCTTTAAATCAACCTAGATAAATCTTAAGCGATACGTTTTATTTAGTTTTTTCTGTTAGTTGTACTTTTTTTAGTGTTTCATAGTTAGGTATCATAAAAGATGCAATATATTGTAAAATATTTTTGCATTATAAGGGACAATGATGCAATGAATAAAGAAGTTGACATGTTTTGAAATGTATGGTTTTCTTTTCTTTCTTTCTATTTGGTTAGCCCTTAAATTATATTAAACCTTGTAAAAATTGAAAGCACATTTTGATTTATATCAAATTTCTTTTGCCACTATTTTTTGCAAATTTGGAGGTGGATACATTTTTATTAATAACTTAATTGTACTTTTTTTTTATTCATATAAACCTAAACCTAGATAATTTTTATATTTCTTTAAATCAACCTAAAAACAATTTATGGTAGGTTTTATTTATTTGTTTCAGTAATTTGTATTTTTTTGTGGTGGAGTCTTTCATATTTATTTATTTATGTATGTACATGTTGTAAATGGCAACTGTAAAAGAACACAATGAAAATATTAGCACAGGAGAAAATGTTAATGTGGAAACACGTTTTGCGCTTCTAGTTCTATTGAAAAAGGCGCTGTAACTATTTTTTTGGAAACTGATCGGTCTGCATATTTTTATGAAAGACTTAATTTAAAAAAGAAATATTCATTATATACCTAGGTATTTTTATTGGTATTTAATTGAAATAACCTAAATAAAAAATATGCGATGTTTTTTTTTTCTGATGATCTATATTTTTTATGTGCTATTGTGTTTGAGATTTCTGTATCTACACGATGTATTAGGAAAATTTACAATATGTTCTGAAATATATATGCAAACATAAAGTTAACACCATGGAAACATTAGCGTTGTAAGAAAACAATATAATGACCAAACTAGGTGGCAGCTTTTGCTTTGCCAAATTTTATAAAAAAAGTCGTACAGAAAAGCTTGTAAAACTTGCTGTTGTCGCCGTTTTTTGCAAACTGATCGATCTGCATATTTTTATCAATGACTTAATTTAAATATTTTTTTCCATTACGTAAAAACTTATATATTTTTTTTATAAAGGACCGAGGATAGTTGGGTAATTCAAAGCTCAATTCTTGACATCAATGTTTTTTCTAAAGATTTAATTAAGTTTACCTAGATGAAAATTATGCAATATGTTTTTTTCTGATGAATGACTTTTTATATGCAAAGGTGTTTGATAGTCCTGCATAAACAGTGTGTATTAAAAAAAGTATTGTATTTTTTGGATTATAAAATATTTATGGGCACACATAAAAATAACACTATGGAAATATAAGCATTATAAGAAAATATGACCAAACAAGTTGACAGCTTTTAATTTTTTTTTCTATTTCAATACTGTGCCCGTCACATTCTATAAAAAAATCAGCAACGCAATGACTTAATCACGCGTTTTTTATTCATAAAAGTCGAAAATTTTATCTAAAACAGGAGATTTAAAAATTCAAACCTCAATTCTTGACGTCAATATTTTGGGTAAAGATTTATTGAAAGTTATCTAGCTGAAACAAATATAATTTTTTATATACTTAGGGCACCTATATTTATGTATATAGAGGATGTGTTTAAAATGAATGTAAATATTTATAACAAACATGAAATTAACTGTTGAAAGGTTTTGATAATTATATTGTTTTTTGGTTTAATAATATTAATTTAACAAAAGCATAGTTGTATGGACATTTTTCTGCTCGGCTTTCATACTTCAAAAATTTTTCCGTAAAAGTCTCTAATATTTTATATTTTGTAACATTCAATTGGAAATAATCCAAGTTCTTGTTGAAGTTGAACATTAAGATATTTATGTGCCAACATCACACGAAGATAATAGTAATTGGATTTTTTTTTAACCCCAGGCTAAATATTAAAAACGATTTCACTCCAAGCCTTGAATAAAATCGATATTTGCAGGTAAACGGTAAAGTTCAGTTTGTGAGAGACCACAACGCCACCGGAAAGACCACCCTGTACGATATGGAGGTGGACACCGGCCAGAAACACATCCTCACCGCTTGCCAGGACCGTAACGTCCGCATTTATAGCGTAAACACCGGCAAACACACGAAAACGTTTAAAGGGAGCACCGGCGACGACGGTACCTTGATAAAAGTGGTTCTGGACCGGTCCGGGATATATCTGGCGACGTCGTGCACCGACAAGTCCCTCTCGGTATACGATTACTATACGGGCGAGTGTATGGCAACTATGTGCGGCCATTCGGAACTCGCGACTGGTTTGAGGTTCACCAACGACTGCAAGAGATTGATATCAGCGAGTGGTGACGGGTAAGTGCTCCTCTTGCTCTATAATATAAAATGGCGGATTGATTTTTGCATGCAATTTTAAACGGGTTCACAGGGGTCTTATATTGTTTCAAAATAAATTATTTTGATTAAGATACTTTTCACATTTGGACATCTTGCTCGGTGGGATCTTCCATTTTTTTGTGCATATGTTTACAGCAAGCATTTCGTCTAGTATATTTAATTTGTCAAGTAAAGGAAACTTGCCTCTCTATCTTGTTTGTTATTGTAAAGCGTCTAAGTTTTCATTGTTTTACAATTCGTCAATTGAAATTTTTCTAGCACTGAGACAGTATATTTTTTCTGACGCAATGTCAAACTATCAGAAATTCTTTTAATCTCAATTCTCAACTCAAACTCTTTTCCATTTCCATTTATTGTAGATCAATATTCCCTCATCAACATATGTCTTTTCTAAAGAAACCTGTTTTACATGTTGTGTTGCGTATCTGGAAATGATGCAAAGAGTTAAGATATTTAATACTAGCTCGCGGATTTACCGAATGTAATAATTGTTAAATACCTGTCGTGTTTATTTCTAGCGTATAATAAATATATATTATACATTTTAAAATTACATTGGGTGATTTATAAAACTGTTTGTTGTTTGTTGTTTATCTTTCAATCTAACCCTCAAAAAATTTGCAGCTTGTTACTAATTAATTGAAATACAGTTTGAAAACAAAAACATATTCCAAGTCACAAAAACCTTTCCAAACAAACACGAAATATTTCCGAAAATATGTTGTGATCATTGGGCAAGGTTGGGTTATAAGATACGAATCGCGATTTTCTGTTCTAGTCATAGTCATAGTCATATCTAAGGTGCGGGAAAAATGCACGCGAACAACTCCATGTAACATGTAAATGCATGCAATTTTCAGAATATGTATGCATCGAAGTAATAATTAAATGCAAATTTTCAATTTTTTAAAAATTATGAACGTAAATGTTATTTTAAATAAAGCCTGAACTATTTCCTTTTAATTGAACCTGTTCTTCATAAATTACATTATTTTTTACCTATGCTATAGACCTATTTGAATAAATATAAACCAAAATAAATTCTTCAAAGTTTTTTATTCATAAATGCACACATTGATACTTACATAGCAAATTGTAAAATGTAAAATCTTAAGTGACAAAATATTTGCGATTATAAAAGAAATTGATAATGAAATTAATAATTCAACAATACCATGGATACATTCAGATAATAACAACTTGCACAACATATAATTCGCAATTTTATAATCTATTCTTTGCCGGTATAAAAACAATTGATTACTAAATATTTTTCAAAATTTTATAAAAGAAAATTGTGTCTTTCATCTGTAAAAATATATTTTGAAATGGAAAAACTCACTCAACATCTAGAAAATTTATCGGACATTATTTTAGTTTTCAAATTAGGTGTGTTTCTAATTTATACGAATCCAGTTCTCTTTCCAAATTAGCGAAATTGCCTGTAAAAAGTTAATATTTTTATATAACCGTAGCCCCAACAGTTCCTAATTATTTTGCAATCTACCTCAAATTGATTTATTGATGCGACTTTATATGTCAGAGAAGCAGAGGTAGCCTCCAATTTCGGGAGTGCTAAAGATAGAAAAGAATAATTTGTTTTATAAATAATAGTTCTTTTACCGTTGAATTAGAAAAAAGAGTTTCGGTATTTATTAGGTGGTAATTTTGTGGTGGTAATTTATGGTAATAATATATCTTTAATCTTTTACTATCAAATGATTAACCAGAAAAATTTTATAAGTACTTTAAAATTGTTAACATTAACTACCAATAATTTGCTTGAATATGTAATAATTTATAAAAGCAGCGATCTCCTTATACCAAAGAACACAATATATCTTTCTTTTCGCTATAAAAAAATTGAGTAGAAAAAAAATATAAATATTTAAAAATTCTTAACATTAACCAAAACAAATCAGAAAACATAAAAAGAAAAATGTGAAATATGGTTTACAATAAGCTGGACAAAACAAATCCCAAGTGACATGTAGAAGTTAGTTTCCACATTTTAACAAACACTGGACAAACACACACCCCTTAAACTGTGGGATTCTGTTTGCAATATTCTTTCATTAATTTAACAAAGAAAATTTTATTTTTACTGGGGTTCATCCTGGATAATTCTATGAATCTATTCATATATAAGAATGAAGTAAAGTAACTGAGTAATAAACGTGTGTCTTATCGAAAAAGGTGGGGCAGGGTCTTTACTTGGTAATCAAATTCAATAAATTCCCTCTTATTAGAAAAAATGTATGTTTTGTACAAAACACAAAAAATGCATTTTGCATTTTCCCCGCTCCTTACTCGTCATAAGGGTATGGTCCGGATTCGCCAGTAATATAACACCCTGTATACACATTTTGAATCTTTGATAGATGCGTGTTCGTATGGCGCGTGCCCCACGACATGATGATCACGATGCACGCGCGTCTAAGTCAACAGGCGATGCGTCAAGGCAAATCTCTCGAGAGCGAGGTGTTCAACGACAGTACAAATTTCGACTTTTACGATGGGAAGGCAACAGCCGAAGGGGGATACCGATTCAGCATTGGTCAGTTGCCTCAGTGGGCCAAGAAACAACTGGCCGAAGATTCTAGTCAGCCGAGCGCTCTTCCGAAGAACGTGGCCCCGCCGAAGGGCCGCTGGGCCCAGAGGGCGGAAAACACGTTCGGGGTGCAGGCTTTTTACTCGGCCAACCCCTTACAGATTCCCGTTATCGGTGAGTATAAGAGTACTTAACGGTGACTGTAAATTTTGTCTTGTATGGGGGAGTGTTGACATACCGGATGTACTGAATATGCTGGATTCGTAATTTCAAAGGTCGATACAAATGCCTCAGGATACACGTATTGGTCCTACACATTTCATTCATTTATTGAAAGTTTATTCAGATGCAATTTAGAAACGCCTTCAAATTTTTGAGTTTAAGGTAAATGGCAAATACACTAAAATGTTCTCAACATCTTGTCACTTCCGGAAGTTGTCGAGTTATCCCGAATGCTTGAATATCGCAGCATTGGTCCCAATGGTCCTTGGAGGTGGCCTCCGTGGTCACTTCATTTTTATTTGTGGAGATATATCAAAATAGAAGAATTATTTGAGAGAGCACGGACAGCTTTTGTGCCGTCCCTGTCAAAAAATAAACTGTAAATTTTCAAAAACAGCGTGCTTCAAAAGCAAGAGTTTCTTACAGCATTAAATTGAACACTAGAAAATTGATATAGCTTTCAAAAAAGCTAATATTATTTATTTAGTTAACTGTGAACTAATTACAAATTAACATTTAAATTAAAATGGCGGAATTAATAATAATAGACCAGGCACAAATAAACTTTAGACAAACAAAAAGGCTGAAGACTATTATCAGTAAAACGCGGATATTCGGCGAAAACCACAACCCAATATGCTGGGGTAAGAATTTTTTAAAATTATTTGGGATCATCCACAAATAACAAATAGCGAGACCAAGGTGCGACACTGGTAGGATACCGGAGAACACTTTTATTTCATTTATTTAATTTGACAATCTGAACCGTCATTAACTATATTTCTATGTAATAATTATGCATGCCAGTCCAAATGTAACATTATGCGGAAGGAATAATTGATTCATACGCACTATTCTTCCCGGGGAAGGTGCGGTTGAAGCCAACTGAGCATAAAAAATTAACATGAATTAATTAAAACAAAAACGCGAGAAATACTAAGAAAGAGAAGGAAAGAATGTTTTGTCGCGTCGTTATATCTTCTTCATTTAGTAATTATTAGTTGTTAAAACTGTCCGATATAATAAACGCTATACTTTGTTAATGAAATGAATTTTCGTTACAAAAAAACTCAAACAATCACTTTATACAAATTATACAAAAATAATATATTTATTAGTTTGTCGTGTGTAAGTTTTTATTTTCTTGGTCGTATTAAATGCTTCTGGTAAATGAAAATTTACATTTTATTATTCTCTCGCATTGAAAAACATAGTGTAGTGCGGTTATGCTGTGTCTGAGATTTGAGTCCTGTAATGTTTAACAAAGAAGTTTTACTTAATTTCCCTGAAGAGCTTGTCATGTTTGTCACTTGGTCTAGTTTGGATATGTGATTGACGGCGAAGCCTCATTCTTTTTGCTGCATGTGTGGAAAATCATTCAGCCCTTCAAAAAGTTATTTTCCAAATGTTTTAAGGAATGGCGAAGGCGCAGGGAAAATAAAGTTTTAGTGAATATGGTTTAGAAATATTGCACTATAATAGTACATTATACAACAAGTTTGATAAACGCACTTTTACTCACGATTTGATGTGAAATTTTTATATCGCCGTAGAATGTGTTTTGACATTGACATTTGATATCATCTGTTTTACTCCAGCGATCACATCCGTATAATAGAAGTCTAAACTTAAGGGAGGAGGGTTAGATTTTCCGGTTAAACTTCCATTGATGGAAGTTTAACCTCATTTCAATTTCAACTCATTTATCGTTAGCGACGTTATGAAAAATGGACTCTTGCAATCGAAGTCCCTAGTCCCAGAAGTCCCATTTACACGATACATTTTTAATTTTCTGTCTTATTGCCTTCTCTTTTTTCTATATTTCTTATGTATTGTTTCAAATTATGCAGATCAATAAAGACTTTTTTAATTATTATTATTTTTAATATTTTTGGAGTTTTAGGAACTAAACTATTAGAAAAACAATGTTATTTTGTTTCTATCACGTAACACTTTTGAATTAGTTTTCGAGATGTCATATTTATTATATTAAAAATAGGAGCATTACATAACATTCTTAAAATTGAAATTTCTACGCCACTGCAATTTCAGGGATTTCCAATTTTGTAGTCACGTGCTATATGTGTGGTTCTTTTGTTTTGTGTGGAAAATTAGGCTCTGTTTAAAAAATAATGCTACGTTTATTTTAAAGTAAAAATTGGTTATTAAGCCAAACCTTGGGCGCCGCATATTGTTTCTAAGATATGCGAAGTATGATCTGTTCATAGATGTAAGAATTTGACCAAATGCTTTTGAACGGATTATCCAAAGGTGATCATTAACATACAATCCAACAAGATCATTATTATCCAGCTTATTTAGAAGACACCACTAATTTAGAAGAAGACATCCTTACTGATATTGGTGATATATGGACTGTTGTTCCCCAACCACAGTTATTTTCACTATCAGAACTGAGAGGTTTAGATTTACCTAAAGATCTTTCGGAAATATCAGCATTTAGACTCCAAAATGAAAATTTACTCTGACAAGACGTTAAACTCCGCTATTTCAAGAAGTGCGAGATAGAATTTATATTTTTTTTTTGTGAACAAAGTGGGCCACTTATTTATTGCACTGATATTCCTAATCTCATTAAAAAAACTACAATTCTGAGGACTGAAGGTTTTTTATTGACTCATCTGCTGGTCATTCTATGCAGATGAAAAAATGCTACGAAAATCCGGACGAAAAATATAAGGACTGTAGTTCGATGATTTGTGATGACTTAAAAATTGTGGTACTTCTACTAGATCAGCAGTCAGAATATAAGAAGTAGCCCTGTTTTATGAATGAATGAGATATTAGAAACAGGCAGCAAAAATCTTGGTGCTGTGAGTGAGGAGCAAGGTGAGAGGTTCAATTCAGAAATTGGACGCTAATATCAAAGACGCTGGATCGTTGCAATGATGGCAAATTACTGCTGGTCATTAAAGACAGACATTACGAATATAGAGGACGGAGAGATGTTCTATAAATAAATGGAATAGCTATTGTTAGAGGCTTTCTTATTTATTTTAATTCGGTTTTAATTATTTTACTAATAAAAATTATGTTTGAATCAGTCGAGATTTTCATTTATTAATTCTTTCTTCTACTCCCGTGTGTAAAGTGCCTAATTACACACGGATCTAGCGTGCGGGAACCGTCACTTTACCAGGTCAGTTTTCGGATCCGAGCCACTTCGGACATTTCCAGGATTCTACCGCACGGCTTTGGGAGCAATTAGATGTTTTCCGAAATTTTACCGCACGGCTTTAATTTTGACGTTTGTCAATTCTGACGCTCGTGTCAGTGAATGAATTCGTGTTGTTTTGCGAAAATGTGCCCAAAAATTAACGGTCGTAGAAGAAGTATAGTATGCAACAAGTTCGGTAAACTTTTTAAGTTTTTTTAAGTGAATCCTGTTCGTTCTTCTCTGGTGTGATTGGGAGCTGTGAGATTGTGGCGAGTCGGAAAAATCGGAAAAATGATTGTAGCGGCTGTTCCCTTGCCTGACGGTTCTGAAAATAAAGTTGAGGTTACGTGAACCGGGAATTTACTAACGTGACTCATATTTTAGAGAAGTCTTCGTACAGTTCTTTCAAATTCTTCTGCATCTTCCTAGTACTATTGTTGCCCGAAACTCCTAGACGCTTTGTCCTGTTAGTGCTCGGTTGGTACTAAATTAAACAATAGACGTTTTCCGATTAATTGTTACGAACCAACACTATCCTATAACCGTTTCAGACAAACGGTTGGATTCGGACGGGTCCAAGGACAGTTCGCTGGACAGCGGTACCGAGGTTAAACAATACAACGAAACAAGGCGCGAGCCCGCTATGTTGACTAAGGTAGTAACGGATGATTTTTCGCCATTGCGGGACTCTAATCATCGTTTTGCGTAGCTGCCGCCGACCGTAACCATTAGGGATAAGACAATGAGGGGGATGATGACCGACGACAGCGCCATAGGCGACGTGGAATCTACCGCGCATGACGGCGACATCGATTCGGATAACGAATACGGGCGAAACGTGTTATACTATCCGTCCAGGGTCGGTTCGCCCAATGGCGCCGAGTTTCCCGTCACCAACATCGACACGGAAGAACTGAGAAAGTCACAGAGGAAGAAAAAGTTGCCGCAGATCGTCGTACAGCGTCAGCCGTTGCCCGCATCTTACGGGTCCAATGACAGCGACGACGAGGACGATGACGTGAGTTCTTCTATTAACACAAATATAGCACACATGAGATCACATAAATGTAGTTATTACTGAAATCAATGACTGAATTACTAATTATATCTCAACTGGCGAAGTTTATCTCTATCTTTAAAACTAAAAAAGAGTTGATCATCCACTTAACAAGTCGAGCAGCAGCACATATCGTGCTACAAGTACACATATATCCAAGCAAAAAAAAAAAAGATCCGTCAGCAGAGAAACTCGTGCAGGTCTTTAAGTAATGTTAATCTTATCAGGTGAGACAAGGACAAGGATAGATTACTGCTTTTTAGAACTTGCTATGGAAATTTTTTAAACTCTTTTAGGATACAGTTATACAAAGGACATTATGCTAGAAGTTTCTTTCAAAAATTGCTCTTCTGTGTAATGGAGTTGTTATAACTCCCTTATGTCTTATGTTCAAATTGTGAACATCAGGACCATATAAAAGTGGGGTGTATGCTTTTGTTATACTGTGTTTGTATACTTTAGCTTGTGGCTAATTCAAATTGGAGAGAATAAGCGAATCACAATATCAGAACATTTATACATACAAGAGTTTTAATTTGAAATTTAATTTAATATACTCAGAGATGTGCTTTTCAAATCGTAGGTCAACATCTAACCACAGTCTAACTTGGTATTGTTTAACAAAAAACTAAGCAGACTACTATTTATGATACTCAAATTATTTTTGCTGGCAAATGATTGAATTGTTTTTGAAAAGAACGTTATTGAAATAAAAACATACTTTAACAGCTTGTATCTTGGAAACCCGGACATTTAGATATGGTACTATTTTCTTTTTTTTCATAAAATGACCTGAAAAAAAAAAAAAAAAAAAAATATATATATATATATATATATATATATATATATATATATATATATATATATATATATATATATATATATATATATATATATATATATATATAATGATGACACTATATTATATTATATATATATATATATATATATATATATATATATATATATATATATATATATATATATATATATATATATATATATATATATATATATATATATATATATATATATATATATATATATATATATATATATATATATATATATATATATATATATATATATATATATATATAATGATGACACTATATTCCGGGATATCATCCGTTCGCTCGTTGAACTCCGACTGGAATCCTGCATCCGACTAGAATCGGAGCGCGATCATTGAAGATGCCAAGTGAGATTTTGGCGAAACGTCTGCAGGATTCCAGTCGGATGCAGGATTTGCAGGATTCCAGTCGGATGCAGGATTCCAGTCGGAATTCAACGAGCGAACGGATGATATCCCGGAATATAATGTCATCACATTTTTCCATCCGTGAATCAATACGTGAGAAAATATATATATATATATATATATATATATATATATATATATATATATATATATATATATATATATATATATATATATATATATATATATATATATATATATATATATAATATATATTTATTTATTTTTGATAAGTATTATATTTATTTAGAACAAGTTTGATTTTAAATTTATCAGGGTCAGTTTCAGAGAAAATGTTCCTCAAGATCTGATGGATTTGCAACTCTTAATATTCAGATATTTTTACAAAATGCCCTGAATATTCTGGCGTGTGTATTTAAATAACTACCGAGAGAGAATTGTCTTCTCTCGAGTACAAAAATTTTGTTAAGATTAACTACAAATCTTAAGCAGTATGGTGCGTTTATGAAACCAATTTTATTCAGAAATACTATTAGAATGTGTAATGTTTCTTAGTGGTTTAATACAATTGTTATAACTACTTTTTTTGTAATTGGCATTCCACAAAATCATACATTTATTTTTGTTTTATAATTAATTTGTTGACAGGGCCTTTGAATTTGTCAGGGGGCCGTTTCAGCAATTATTAACAGTCACTTCAGTCTAATGTAGATGCTATTTTTGGTTAGTTAAACCTGGATAGATTTAAATATCAGTATATGCCGCTACTATAGTCTTTATTTTTAGATATTGTTCAGATCCGCACTGTATTTTGCTATTGCTTTTCGTTCATTGGCGGAGTATGCAAGCCAAGTATTCAGAAAACAAATTGCTGTATTTAGACTGAGAATTACTACAGTAATACTACATACTATTTTATGTTCTGCTTTTAAATTAATCACGGAAGAAATCAACTGTAGCTATAATATCTAAAATAAATTTTAAAATTTGCTACTGAACCAGATCTAAGCATGTGTTTTACCTGCCATTGAGAAGGCTCGCTTGCGACTGACATGTGCATATGCATAGAAATTTTCTAGATTTATAATTTTTAAGAAGTTATTTTTATGCTGTTTGCTTATTAAGCTATGTTTGTCAGAAAAATAAATTCCAGCAAAATGGCCACAAAAAAAATCGATTTCGATTGTTTCTTTAAAGGCATCGACCCCTAGCGGCGAGAACACGGACCGAAATCCGATGTCTCTGTTCTCCGTCAGTTCGGAATCGCTGGACCAGTTGGTGAACCGCGAGCGGTATCTACAATCGACTTTCGAGAGTATGTCCGGTGCCGATCCAGAACTGATACCAAGTGGGTATCCGCTTAGAATTTCGTCGTCTTTAGTTGACGCGTCGCATTTTCCTTTAGCTAACAAGTCCTCCATATCGTCGAAATTCCTGACGAACAGTGGGAACAGAAATATAGAGGCGATAAATGCGGTGAAGCAGACGAGAACGGATCCGGAGGCGATCAGGAAACGTCAGGAGCTCAACAAGAGGATTGCGGAGACGAAAAAGAAGTTAGAAAGCGTAAGTGCAGGTTTTACAGTTTTGATTAGTTTTGGTTAGGTTTAAAACGAGTGAAACATCAATAAGGTGATGTTTGGCCATTTACTAAAAATTAAAAAGTTTACCTTTATCTAGAGCAACTTGGATATTAAATTAACAAATAAATAATATTCATAATAAATATATGAACTTACATTAAGTAAGATAAATTCGAGGTATTGGTTAAATAAGTGACAGCTTTTAATTTTAATTATTTAAGTTTAAGACTTGCAGAGAACCTTCATGAGTTTTGAATTTTATCTCTTTTTAAATATGTACTAGGGTAAAAAAAAATGTCTTTGTATTGTAATTGTATTTTGTAGATTGTTCAAACAAAACAATTGTCCGAAATCAATCAGATCGCTTTCTTCGAATAATAAATCAGTTTAGAATTGGTTGGTAAATTATTTTTGTAATGGTATACATATTTTTGAATGCATTTTCGAAAATATCTCCACATGCTTCAATTTTGCAAGATTCTCAACTGTTAAATATCTAGAAGCGAACTTTGATATATATCCCTAGTTCTATCTACATGACAATCCAACGTAATACTTTCATGTTCACCTCTGGGTTTGCCAAATTTGTAAACGACATGTGTTTTATTTAGTCGATATTTAGAGGAAGTTTGTTTTAGTCATACCGATTTTTTAACAATTTTATAGTCGTCCAACCGCAATAAAATTTTCAGTTAGAATTACATTTAGCACTTCTTTTATAAATGTTTTGAAGAACTTACCTCCCTGTCGCACTTCATAGAGCACTGATCTCATATCATTAACTAGGGATGTTTCCAATGTTATGGTAGTTTAGTCATGATGGAGACTACTACGTCCATTCCCATCATCAAAACATTCTTTTTTTTTTCTTGCGGCGTACGATCTTGCCATAAGTGCCTGTCGAAATGATTCTAATTACCAGTATAACGGGCTAACAGCTCTTGAAGTTGACGACAAGTATCAAACATATTGAATTTCTGTTCTGATTCTCTTTCAAAAATTATTGCTCTTTGAGATCTTACTGCATCTTCTTCCTCTTCTTATATTAGGCCTTGGCCTTGTTCTATCTTTTTTTTTAAGTCTGCAGTATTTGCCATGTGGACTGCCAGCTATCTCCATCTTTTAAAGGGCGTTGCTGGTGGTTAGGTGCCTGCTGGTATTAAATGCCTTGCTGATGGAGCTAATCTAATCTATCGCAGTCAGGCGATTCATGTTATACGATGGCTCCACTCCCGTCTTCTCTGCCTTCCTCACCGTACCGATGTCTTGCAGCTTACAGAGGTCTCTTTGATTGTTCGGTATTCTGTCTTGCTTTGGTTGCCATTGATCCCATTTCTGTTGTTCTCCGTATCCTTTTTATTTATGCTGCGTCAGCTCTCGTTTCTATTGAATGTCTCAGTATCGGTCTTACACATAACTTATACCGGGCGAAATTTATATATAAATTAAATATTGGCTCCCCTGTGAATTCTATAGCAAAGTTGTAAAATAAATAAAGGTTGGTTTACAATAAAGATATGCATATTTATTGTATATGTTTATTTTGAATGTATATGTATGCATATACATTCAAAATAAACTATGCTTTTCTTAGGATCATACTCGGTATTGGAATGAATTTCATTGAAAGGACAGTTTAAGCAACAAGGACGCTTCAAGGAAGGACTATAAATGATGACCCTCCAGTCTTTTATTAAAAATTATTAATAATTGCAATAAAAATACGGCTACAAGACATTGCTAAAAAGAGACATTATTTAAAATATATATTATTTTAAGTAAATGTTCATACAACCCTCCATTAACAGTTAACAATATCCTAAATGATCATTAAATCTATTTCTAACTTGCTTAGTTGATATTGTGAAATCCTGTCACATTCTAAGGAAATAGCATTTTGTAACTAGTTAATATTTTTTATATTTAACATTAACACTATTCAAGTGACTGCACAGAAAGAAGTCGTTCGGCGAGAAGTCAGATGACCTGCGTGGCTAATGGATTCGGCACTTTGGGCAAATATTCTCGTTAAAAGTATTTCGAAAATAGTCCGTAACCATACGGGAATTATGGGCGGGACAGCCATCCATCTGACTGGAAGATCTGTTGATCTTCGCGAACATCTTCTTGTGCGGGTTCAATTAGATTTTGTACTAAATCCCAATAAGTTTTTGCCGTGATGTTATTATAGTGAATAAAAAATGGCCCGATAATATTTTTTGAGGAGTATGAAGAAAACGATATTCATTGTTTTGGCTCCAATACCGACAATCTTGAACATTAGATTCGTTGTGTGAATCATCAGTGACACATATATTTAAAAAAAACCCTATCATGATTTGCTTTTTCCATCATTTTAAAACAGAATACTACTCTGCTTTCTTCATTGCCTTCCCGGAGCTCTTGGTGCTTTTCATGTTTGTAGGAAAATTATATGCAGTAAAATGTTCAAATCTCAAAATAAACTGAAAACATTTCAGACACTGCTCTAAGACTATTTCCTGCATAATACCCCTTAATTATGGTTATTATAACGTACAACGATCACAAATAAAAATATTGTTACCGTCACGAATTTTCTTGTTGTCATTGTCAAAACGTATTTTACAGGTGTTTGATTTATTACCTAAATTATAAAAATGTTAAAATTTTATTTTTAATTAAAATCTATTTAAACTCGGCCCATGAATTAATTATACCTTCCAAAAGTTACATTACAACTTTGCTATAAAATGTACAGGCGAGCCAATATTTGGCCACCTAAAAATGTAAACACAATTTTCTATGTTCCGTTCCCTTCCAATCTCATATCTCTTTTTCTCCAAATAACATCCCTCAAAAAACGTGCCTGCTTTATTTGCCTCCTTCGTTATAGTTTCTTTTAGGTCTCTGTAGTTGGATATTTGTATTCCCAAATATTCGATCTAGGAAACCTGTTCTATTATTTCATCATTAATTACGATTTTGCATCGTTTGGGTTTCCTTGGTATTACTAAAGTCTTGGTCTTAAATGTCGTATGTTGTAGGTTTCCAGTACTATTTTAAAGGTACGCACCAGACGCAGTAGGTCGTCATCATTAGCTGGGACTAAGATTGCATCGTCTGCATAACACAGGATTTTTATTTGTGTTTTTCCGAGTATCAGTGTCCTACCTTTTTGTTTTTCCTCTAATTTTATCCATTATTAAGTTGAATAAGAGATGGTTTAGTGACACATATGGCAGATTTGATATCTATTTCCGAAGTGAATAAATGAATTCATTTACGTCCTTAAATTTGGTTTTGTTGTTAGTGTTACTGTCTTTATCTCAATTGCTTTCTCAACGACTTGTCTGGTTATCTATTGTCGACCTGTTTTGCCGGAAGTCTCCTTGCTCTTCATTAACTGTATATTCTTCAAGGATCTTATTATAAGGTAATATCGTAATTGCTGGGATTCTTCTTATTTCTTGTTTTATCTTCCACGATTGCAAATACAAAAGCAGGACTATGAAAACGCGTATACATCATAACAATTCCAGACCTTTAGAAACATCCCTCGTATTTAATAATCTTTTAGTAGGAACACTGTCATGATGCACAGTATCACATGCTTTGGATGATTTCTAAAGCGGAAATTTTAATTTGTTTTCCCCGCAGGTGGGTCACTCTAGTCAGTTGAAGTACAGCAAATCGACCCAGGACCTGTCCCACATTCCGGAACGGGACCAGTGGTCCAAAAAACCAGGTAACACTAGCGACTACTCTTGCTCATGTTGCGTGGTGTCCTCAGACGCGCTCACTAACACCGACTACTATCCGTCCACTAACATTACTAACCATAGTAGCTGCAGTCGGAGCGTGCCGTCCGATTTGCAACTGTGCGGTTGCTACATGCGAGACATAGCGAAAAATACGACACAGCTTAGTCACGTGCTCGGTAGCCGTTTAGACACGGAGGCCAGTAGTTTTAGGGAGAGCCTGGTGGCGGCCACCAAAAGTCCGGAAAAGAGTTTAAACGAGATGATCCGTCCGAGGAAACTGCAGCTGGACAAGACGCTGGCCAAGTACAAGATGCACAAGAGCTTGCCGGTGTCTCCGGTGAGCGAGGAGCGTCAATTCGCCGACTACGTAGATCAGAGGCAGTCGTTTAGTTATTTTGCTGACGTCAAAAATACCGACGAGGGTTTCAAGCAAGTGTGCGACGACATTGAGAAATTCAGCGAGGACTTTAATAAGCGGTACGACAAAATAGGGCGGACATTCGACAGCCAAATGGAGAGGGGTAATAAATATGGCGGCGGAGAAGAGGAGGAGGGCAATTTTAGCTCGGACTCACTGGAGGATTACAATTTCTTCGCGGCCGGGGCCAGAAAGCGAAAGAAAACGGTCCCGCCGCGTCGCTGCGTCTCCAACAACGAAATCTACCGGTACCAGGAGGAGTACCTGGAGGAGATACCGAAGAGCGAGTCGTTTTACTTGAATCAGAGTATTAATAACAGCCAGGACAGTATCCTGTCGGACGAGCAGTTGGATTATTATTCGGTGGCGGCCCGAAGTTCTTGTAACAGTTTGGAGTCGGTAGCGTCCAACGAGTCGGACTGCAAGAGCGCACCGCTAGAGGCGCTCTTCGAAGGTCACAGACAGAGGCAGACGTCCGAGGTAAGGTTTGGAATTTATGGGAGCTGCCCAAAACAAAATAGAGCAAAAATTTCCGGAGTTTTACGAAATGAAGGGGATATTCAAACCATTTGGAACGTTGTGGTTTTGCCGAAACACCTGCCTTGATACGCGATTTTTAAAGAATCTTGGGGTATATCGAGCTCAGTAATAATTTCTTTGGGGAAAAAGAAACGATTTCCCAATTGATGGTTTTGGCGCATTTGAACTATCGCAAAGAATTTTGTCTTGGACGTTCAAATTATACTTTAATATCGATTCGAGTGAGCTGAAATCAGCATAAAAAAAGACCTTGCTTGAGCCCCACTAACATTTTTTGCTTTATAATGTTAGAGCATAAGGAATACATTTTGATAACCCCTATAAAATTTACTTGTCATTGTATTTTGCTTTGCCACAACTCAAAAACTTATTTTGTAATTGTAATTTTATATTTTACTTTTCCTAAAACTAAAGCGCCTTCGTTTTGAGCAAGTCAAACTGCAATTTTGCTAAAATTAAAATTATCTCTTTTTCCAATTAAAAGGCAGAACATTTTTTAATCTCATATTTTTAAAGAAATGTGTCTTCCAAGTTGTTATAAAAATGGACGTCATGTTTAAAAGATTCGCTTTTTAAAAAACCTATAATTTTGTATTAAAGACTTTGGAAATCTTACACTTACCTAGTTCTATTGTAGCAATAATAAAGGTGATTTTGCAATCCTTATTTTTCCATGCTAATGCCTGTAAAACTAAAATTAACCGGAAAACCAATTGAAAACTGTTATAATAATGAATAACCTTAAACTTATACTGCGAAAAATGTTAATTGGGAATACCAATTGAAAACTTTTAGTGTGCAAATGTCAAATGCCAATTAAGCATCTTAACCTCACTTTTCATATGTTATGTCTCTGTTTATTATTGAAAAAAGAAAACGTATTTGATTTATAAATACTCAGATAAAGCTCATAATTAAACTAAAAATGTCAAATTGTAACACCAGTGCTTTAAATAATAAAATATAAGAACGGTTATGATAATGAATAACCTTAAACTTAAACTGCGAAAAATGTTAGTTGGAGGTTTATACGTAACGTAGTTTTTGACCGACCAACATGTTTCAATACGTGAAAATCAAAATTGGCTCCGAAAAAAACAAACTGCAAGGAATTTTCGAATTTTGTGTGATAAAAAAGTTCGGAACGAATTTGCTTTTTCTGTAAGTTTCCGATTTATTATTTTTGGCTACTTCTTACTTACGGCGGTTTCTATTTTCATGAATGCTTATTGAAATAAAAACAAATTACTTTTAGCAGTATCTATTTTCATAAATACCCATTTTCATAAAATCAGAACAAATTTTCTTTGATACTTTCGATGTTGATGATTACTTATAGAAAGAAAAATAAATTCTTTTATCTGCTTCTATTTTCATAAAAGAAAAACAAATGACTTTAGGCAACTTCAATTTTCAGGAATACTCATAGAAATAAAAACAAATTGTTTTTAGTAGTCTCTTTTGCCCTGAACGAAAAACAAATTATTTTAGGCAGAGTACTTTCAGCAGCTTCTATTTGCGTGCATACTTTTAGAAATGAAAAAAAATTGCTTTGACTCACTGCTATTTTCATAAACACTTATAGAAATAAAAAAACAAGCTCCTTTTGGCAGTCTCTGTTTTCATGAAAGAAAAACAAATTACTTAAGCAGCTTCCATTTTCATGACAACTTATCAGAAGACAGGCAACTTACTTTTAGCAGCTACTATTTGCGAGAATAATTTTAGAAAGGAAACAAATTACTTTGGGCTGTTATTTTTATAAAAAAAGAACAAATTGCGTTTAGCAGCTTCTATTTGCGTGAATATTTATAGAAAGAGACACAAAAATACGCACCCCGAATATCAGCCGGAATTGAAAGCCTATTTTCAGGCGGCTCGTAACATGTCCCACTCGCAAAGCCTGCCGAAAAACATCTCTACCCAATTCGAAGCGCAATTGAGCGGCAGTTTACCGAAAAACTATATGGAGCCCTATTGCTCTCGTCCGGTGGTCAAAACGAGCCAAACGCAGACCGATTTCGAGACGCCACAGCAGTTGGTGGCCAAGAAGGCCCGCGGCTCTGAGGATTTCCAGCGAAAACTCCTCAAATTCGAGAACGACATTGCGCACGCTTCTGCCAAAAAGCCTGTCGCGTTTTTCGTCGAGACCTCGAGACGCAAGTGTAAAGAAAACATCCCGGTGAAGAAGAAGAACAACGACGGGGAAATGTACATACCGAGTATGGCGACGAAGAACAAGCAATACAAGAGCAAGTTTTGCAACGTGTTGAACAACAAACCGGACGTTAACTTGGAGATATTCGAGAGTCCGGCTCGAGGACATTCCTTTGCGTTGTCGACGATTAATTTCGAGACGAACTCGAACAAGCACCAACCGCAGGAAACGACGAGCTTGGACAGGCACTTGTTCGCCAAGGGGTTGCTGCATGCCAGCGAGAAGATAACCCACAAGCCGCCGAAGGCGGTTAGAAGGCACAGCTCGAAAACTCGAAAGGGTAAAACGACCTACGAGTACATCCGGAAGGAGGATTATTACAAGAGCAACAAGAAGCGCGCGTTGAATAACAGAAAGCGGGACCTGGTGGTCTCCGACGAACACACCATCGAGATCAGTTTCAAAGAGAAGAACGTCGACTTCGAACTGCAGGCGTCCAGCGCAAAAAACGAGCAGAACGTCAGCAATAACATCCTGACCGAGCTGTATGACAGTTTGGACAAGAAGTCGCCTCCGTCTAGAATGGATCTGGACTCGTTGGAGGTGAACATTAATAATCAGTCGGACGGCGAGTCAACGAAGCTCTACGACAGTTTGGAGGTGGGCGTGTGGTCGAAAGGTGTGACGAAGAACACCGCCCTCCAATTGGAGAATGTCTTGAAGAAGCAACACGCTTCGTATACGTGCAACGAGAGTGACGATGAGGTTGGTATAATCGTTGTGGTATGCGTCGGGACGAAAAAATTGTCCTATATGTCCTAACCTCTATAGAGGTGTTACATGTTTTTAAGTACTTACAGTAACACCGGACGAATGACCTACTCTTGCGTTCCGTACAAAAATGAAGTTGCCGTTAACAATCCAACAACAATGACTTTTTATTTTTGACAGTTAATTATATTGATCAGTTAATATGATTGATATCCGTCAGTAGTAGCAATACGTAAGTTCACCATCCCTCGTCCATCCGAGGCCGATCCCGTTATACCAATGTAAGAAGTTTCAACTCATTTCTTTTTTCTTTCGGCAAATCTCGGTGTACATTAATTCTTAAGCATGTATCTGATATATAATTTAAAGTTGTTTGTCATTTACAAGTGCCATCTGTTTCCAGACTATTTCTTCTGTATTTTGACTACATTACTTACAAATTTCGCTTCACTTACATTAAATCTTTTTCCTCGCTTGCCGGACTGCTTTCTTTTCTTCGACATTTTCCAACTTTTCTGATCTCAAAATCCTGCATGTCATGACATTTTCCACACGTCTTGACGTATGAAGGATACGACTTGGACTTCAGAAGTTTATAATAATGAATTTAAATGCCGTGAGATTTGACAAAGGAGCCAGGAAAATAGTTGAAAGTTGGTTATAGTTTTTGTGGTTATAAAATGGCGCCTTTAATAAAAGACTGAAAGAGGCGTGATCTATATTTTTTAATTGTTTATAGTTTGCCCATGTAATGGCATATATCAAAATTCATTTTCTGGTTATCCGACATGGATCAAACATATTTGCCCACTTTTTTATAATAAGCATATAAGCAGAGCGACATGTTGACTGTATTTTTCCAGTATCATCAACACGCATATGTGGCTTTGAATATACTCAGCAAATTATCCCAAGAGAAGATATTTTAGTAATAGGATGGTATTCAGTCGTTTAAGTAAATGTTTGCGCGCAATAGAGATCTAGAAAAAATCTACGCGTTAGGAGCGAAGAAAAGGTCATTAATGTTCTTGCCTATGTCCACACTAACCCCTATTTAAGCTTAAGAAGAAGAATTTTGGAATTGGATATTAGTAATACATTGATATAATGAATTAATGAACTTGAAGTTCATTAAATCATTAATTATTTTCGTTTTTTGTAATAAAAACATAAAGAATACGTAGAATTTTAAGAGCAATCTAAAAATGAAATAAAAAATACTTTTTCTATTGAGAATAAGAAAGTTTAGTAGTTCAGGGAAAAAAGATGAATGTTGCAACGTCCCTATATCACGATTGGATCATAACTACAAACCCGCGTACACTAAATTTCATGGATTTGCTGATATACGGCCGCTGTGACATCTTGGTCTAACCCTGTATATTGATGAGTATTTGTTACTACGAGGGAATGCGTAGCTTTATTTTGTTACTGAACCAAAATGTAGCACGACGTAAGTACTAAGTCTGAAAAATGATAACAAGTCTTCAAAATTCAGAATTTTTTGCTAGCAACGTCGACGCATATCACTAGCCCTTAAATCAGCTGTCTGGATTATGGGTTAATCCTTGCATTTCCCCCTCTCAGCAGACAGACAAAAGACATTCTCCTCCTGACAAAATCGCCGTCGCATTGGAAAACATCAAAATCTTAAACGAGATCCAACGCAAGATACACAAAATCAACAACCTCGTCGACATTTACAAAAGGAACGTGTCCAGAGGCAAGGTGCGAGCCTTGTCCAGCATGTACGAAAGCATGAGCGCGTCTCAAAGCTACTACAACGACTTGACGAAACTGCAAGCCACGCCCCTTAAATACAGGCGTCGCAATTTGAGTCTGCCCAGTTTCGTCGAACGGCGACTGAATAACGAGCCGTCGAAGATGCTCAATCAGACCGAAGAAGGTTCGGAAACGAGCATGATTCGGAATAGGACATATTCGATGTTGTTTTGGATTCGATATTGGTGTTGCATCCTTTCGTTGTCGATGAAATACGAGCTTTTTTTAGGACGCGAACGCTTGACGCCGTAACGAAAATCTGTTGCGGTTTTCGTTTGTGGCAGTTGTCGAATTTTTGCATGTTATCCCATACGTATAGAAATAATTAACCCTGGGAAAAAATTTCTCTCCAAACTGCTTAATCGTAAAACTAAACAATAACATTACATATTCCTGTACATATTTTCCCACCCAGATATTGGCCTTTCAACCTTGACGGACTTTCTTGAACAGCTGTTACGAGAAGATATATCGATAAAGAAATATTTCAAATATTCGAATCTTACTTTGATAATAGTCGCGTTGTCGATGTAGGTGAAGCGTAAGTGTTCTGACAACACTTATCATTAGCAGAAGTTCCCACTTCTCAGAAACCGAAGTTCCCACGTATCTTAAATGACAAATTTCGACTTGTCATAAACTTAAATTCCCATTTGCCATGATTACAAATTCCCACTTATTTATTATGTTTATATTTTTTCCTGTAATAAGGAGTATTTGTAAGATTAGAGGTTTAATTTCCAGGGGTTCTTGTTACGATTAGTAAGTTATTTTAAATAATTCACTTTTTTCAACAACAGTTAAAGTAGTTTGTTAAACACAAATTCCCACTTATCCTAACCCAAAGTTTTATCTGTAATAAGGTTTATGAATAGAATAGAATAGAATTTTATTGACTATGTTTGTACATTTTCACAAGTACATTATAGCAAGTTAAAAAAACGAATATAGATAGCATAGAAATATCAAATAAAAATAGAAAACCAGGAACAAAAACAGTAAAAAACTTTCACAATAAAAATTTTACAGACAAATATGACAAACAGGTATTTTAAAATTTTCAGGACCTTTATTGCATATTAAAATCGGACCTTAAATATTCTTCCAGGCTTTAAAAACAACGTTAGAGAAAATATTTTTTAAATGTTTAAAATTATATATATTTTTTATTTTATCGAGAAGAAAGGTTTCATCGACCTTACTGCAGAAACCTCACCATTGTTTTTAACACAATGGGTGCGAAAAGTAGGGTTGTACTCAGTTAGTTTCAGTGGTACACCTCATATACCATTAGGAAAAAACTTTATCAATATCAAGTGGTGATGAATGTAGTCGAAAGCCTTGAAGAGATCGCACAGTGATAAAACATTATGCTAACCCTCTCAAAACTCCTGACACAACTAACCAAAGCTACCAAAATTGGAACTATGCTAATAGGACGATTATTGCCTAGGTTAGATTTTCCACTTTTTCTTATGGTTTAAATTATTGAGTAATCTCTTTTTGAGTCTTGAAATAAATTGTATTATTTGAAATTCTTAACAGGTTATTCAAGATTAACAGTTGTCCAGTTGTGTAAGGGCCAATATCTTGAAGTACTCTTACAAGTTTGGTGCGAAATAAGTTTCCCAGTATTGAATCGATGCATATGAGCACCGTTCGAAACATTTGCACATTTTTTTTATCGTTTCGCATTGTCTCCACACGTCGTGCATGTTTTTTCCAGTTCATGTAGAGGATTCTAGTCCCGATAGCAGTTTGAGACGGTCGTGTAGCTTGAGCGATCTCAGCATGCAGGCTCCGCTCATTTCAAAGAGGAAAATCGAACAAGGTAAGTGACGTGTTGTGCCTTTGGACTCGCTCCACGCACCGCTCTCACACCGTAAGGCGTATGTCTCCCGCTACTAATTTTAATTTATCTACTAACGTGCCTTGTATTATTTTCCGTATATCCACTTTGGTTTATTAATAGTGGCGGGAAAAAAGGTGTCGTCGCGAATGACGCCGAGACAAGTCAAAAGCCAGTCGATGATGAGGAGCAAGTCTAGCGTAGTGCTGAACCATCAATCCGACTCAGACGACAACCAGGAGAAGAAAGTCAGCAGGCTGATGCGTCCCACGATCAGCTCTTACAACAAAATCAGCAACAAGTCGTTGCAGAGTCGAAAGAAGCAGTCTTATTCTACGAGTAATTGATCGCCTAAATACCAAATTACCGTTAACATTGGGCTTTTCAAGGCAACTTGAATACTCTGGGAGTCGAGCCGCTGTCCACCTCCGATAGCGAGCTCGAAACCAAGAAGCCGTCGGCACCACCGAGACCTAGCAGGCAGCAACTGAACCACGAAAACGGACAGGCTTCGAATAATTCTAGACGGCACATGAACAACAAGGACAAAGTCAGGGGTGAGTACCTATTTCGCTTCTTTTTTTCGCCCGTGATGGTGTACCGCTTTTTCGACGTCTAATCATATGCCTAGGCATTTCTTTTGGATAGTAATGATTTGTTCCCTAATTTGCATGAAATGCCTAGCCAAATTGCTTTATGCCTATAAACGTTCACGGGCATAAATATTATGGCAAGTCGTATAGCTAGCGGGGTTCTGTGTCAATTTGCATTTTGTATGTACAGTGTGTCCGAAATTCGTTGTCATTGTTTGTTATCTCTCTCGGTCATCAGTAAAACTGGAGGTTTGTCATTTAGGGGTCATTTAGGGATTTACGAAACCCCTCGTATCTCTGGTAATATTTAACTATCAAAAAAATAAAATGACGTCTATAAAGATTTTTTTTACGTTGAATCCAACGGAGTAGCTAGATTTTTTAGATTTTCTTTTATTTTTTGAATTATGACAAAGTTTTAATATTTTAAAATGGGATAGATAGCCTGTATAATTTCTGTCATTATATTGCTTCCGCCAAGGGTTTTCCGAATACATATAACACTACCATTTGTTTGTCATTTTAATTAAAGTCCAATTTTTGTTCTACTTTATCATTCTTCAGAGCTTAACTTAATTAATTCAAGTTCAGTTCATCAACAAGCGGCGCAGGCGGAATCCAGAAGATTTTTTAAACAGTATTACCGTAGCCTGTGGAAGTTTCTTTGAAAAATTAATGAAATTGTTGTAAATATAAACCAAGACTTTGGAAATGTTGAAAAATGTGATCTGCTGTGTTGCTTTGTGCTGTATTGAAAATACGGATGAATCATCTGAACAGTATATGCACAGGTATAATGAATAATGAAGTATGTTTTTCGTTTGTTTACAAATATGTTAGGTAGGTATCCAAAACAAAGACAACCCAATAAAATAATATTTGGTAGGTTTAAAACTAATATAAATAAATTTTCGCAAAGGTCGACCAAAAACGTATAATAAACCGTATCGAGGAACTTAGTGAAATTAATATTTTGGCAACAACAACTTTTAGAAATTTTTTAAAAATCGCAAGTTAAAAACCTTTTAAATTTTAGTTAGTTTATAATTTTGCATCCTGGGGACGTGCAACGAAGACTGATTTTTAAATTGGCTGGTCTGATAAAGCTTATATTAGCAGTGCCGGCATTAACTAGCAAAATAGTAATTACTGGTTCCAAGAAAACGAACATATCCTCGGGAGTAACAAAGCAGATTCGGCGTGTTTTATTCTAGGAATTAATATAAAATTTTATATATACGAAGGTATCCTCGCAGTAAATAGATATCTGAGAATACTGGAAAATATCTTACCAGAAATATGTGAAAAAGTCCCCTTAACTCAGCTAATCAATATATTTTTTGAACTTCAAGAAGCTCCTGCGCATAATTTTCGAGTCATACATACACCCAGGTCTCCCGAGTTATCAGTTTATTGATAACTTGTTTCGAGGCTACCTTCAAAATCAAATTTACAAAAATTAGCATCATACAATGCGATATGCCACTGAAAGAGAATTAAGTGATGTGCAAGTCCGTCCCATTATATTACGTAATAGATTACGCAGAACAAGAAAATGCCAATGCCAATACTTCATTCAATATAATGGAGGTCAGTTTGAGCAGTTTCTTTAGCTGTACATTTAGATTTACGTATAGACTATTTTTTTCTAAGAAATGCAATTTTTAAACTAATTCAAATTTAAACTAATTTTGACAGATAAGAATAAGTGACAGAAATAAAAATACCGCTTGAATAAACTTTTAAGTTAAAATAATAACTTAGTACTAGATAGTAATTAATATTAATGAACTAAAACTTATTATTAAACATATAAAATTATGCTGTAATATCGTTTTTAAATAAAATATTTAATATTAATAATTTTTTTATGTTTCAGGCATATTAAAATATTATAATATTAAATACAAAAACTTAAATTTAAAACAAAATGGTAAAATATTATATATATTCGGAAAGCCCTTTGTGAATGCAATACAATGACGTTGAATTATACAGAGTGTCATAATTCAAAAAATTAAAAAAAAAACTAAAAGAAAACTAGCTACTCTACGTAAAAAAATCTATATAGACTTATTTTTATTTTTTCGCTGAAATATTAATGGATGAGGTGCCGCAAATCAAGAAATTTTTTACTCAACCTAGATATCCTGCAATGACAACGAATTTCGGACACACTATACATGAGTGTCCGAGATTATCCGAACACGTGTCGCAGAAGTAAAAACGTTAAATTCAATCATTGTAAAAACCATCGATGTGATGTCACCATCCGAAGTACTAATTGACCCGGGATCTCGTCAACTACGCTACAATGTTCGTTTGTATTTTGTGCGTAATTGGAAAGTGTGGTACATCTTTTTTTGAAAAATTCGCCTTGACAAGTTTTGGAAACACGAATTGAACTAGACCACACATGTGACGTTGTAGCATTAGAGTTGTCGTGGCCCTTGCAAAGGACCACAGGAAACTGGTTTTTATATTTTATGACGCTCTAGTAAGTGATGGAAAAGTCCTTTTGAGTGGCCAAGACACACGCTTTCTGATTAATACAAAAACACGCTTTAATTGGCTTCGGTAGGTACTGTAGGTAAATCTCTTAATCTGGCACCCAAAATATGTTAGGTTCCATACGGTATAGAGTTCCAAAAAAGTCTCAAACAAATCGCAAAGAAAACAAACTGAAACCATCGTTGATCAACCAAAGAAAACCGCTCGTTTACTTGAACTACGTACAATACTATAACAAATTAATTGGCAATCAAGGTAGCAAAAAGGACCATGGAAATTAAACTTTTTAGTTTAGTAATCGGAGACTTCTTCTCTAGATTAGTTGTTCGATGGTAATTAATATCAAAAGGAACTCTAACTTGATAAAAGTGAGTGGTTAACTCGGCAGTCTAGAATCCGGTACAGCATTAAGACATCTGTCAGTGATCTCTTATTCTGAGGAATTAAATTGTTGTTGATATATGTTTGCGTAGAAATTTATTGAAAGAGGCGCATTATTTAAAATGAAAGTCTTCTGCTTGCTGACGTTTCGCCCCTCATTCTCCTTTGCTCTTTATATCTGTTTAAGGGCGGTGGAGCTAAAAGAGGGACACTAACATTGTGAACTCATTCCCATATTTCTATGGATTCTCGAATTTTTCTTTGGTAGAAGAATTTATTACATGCAACAATTTTAATTTTATCTACTGAAATTTGATGAGATCATTTTTCGTAGTCTTAAAGCTCTTATACATGGAATGATGTAAACTCCTAAGACGGAATTCTATTTTTGACAAATTGTAGACGTTATGGTTATGGCTTTAACGTTATATTTCGTAAGAACTTTGTCACCAATATGAGAATCAGGTTCATCCGAGACAATTTTTGGCTCCGCCCCCTTCAAGCAGTATAAAAGCATATATAGAGTAGTTAAGCTTCGAGGAAGCCAACTGGAAGATTGGAAATCGACGCTGGAGAAATCCAGACGATTTCTAAATAATAATACAACAGCCTGAGGAAGTTACTTTAAAAAAATATGAGAAATAGTAAATTGTTAAAAATAAAATAAGTAAGAAAGCAATTTAATTATTTTCTTATTAAAAATAAACACAACTGTATTTCAAGTTCTTTACTAAATTATTATATTATTATTAGTGTACGGGCTGATCATTTATATCCCCCTCCCTCTTATCTTTTCATTTTTTAGTGGAACCTATTAAACGATTCATAAAATCACTTAAAAGTTCTGCACAATTGTCGTCATTTGAGATACATGCGCTGCGCTTTTAACATAAAAGCAACATTCAAATATAGAATAATATTCCAGAATTTATAATTTATATCTTAGGCGGCCGTGAAGTAGGTTGTCACAAAAAACAAAATATTTGTTTGTAACTGAGAGCGACAGTTACAGATTTAGCGAAACTGTGCTCCCGTTATTCGCAAAGAGAAAAACAATGAATTTTGGAAACATTCATTAAATCAAATAAGAGGGCTAAATTGGCTCAAAGGCAATTGCATGTAATTAACCTTCGATTGCACTTTATCGAATCTGTGAAAAATTTCAACAAATATCCAGCCTAGCCAGAAAGAAGAGAACATTTTGGGTAATATTATATTCTAATATCTAATTATATCCTATACCTAAATTCAATATTTTTCGAAATATTTGTTAACCTAAAAAGCGACATTAAAAAATATTGCAAACTTTGTAGGTTAGGTATGTGTAACATAATATGTAGGTAGTTAATTTTACAAATGGAATGTTTTCGATTGTATTTGCATGAACACGATTAGAGTTCTCCATAAAAATGCACCTGTCGGCAGTAGGCCAGGACTGTTGGGTAGCCATTTTGTTGTTCCATCTTTTCCAATCCATCCATTAAACCTTTGATTTAAATAGTCTTCGCTCTGTCGAAAATTTGAATAACCGGTACCTTTTAAAATAACGTCGATAAATGGGAACCTGTTAATAACACGCCACATATCTACAGTGTGATGTCCTTGAAATTGAAATTCCCTGTGTACCTGTTTTTTTGATTCATCATACTATTGGTTGAGAACGATGACTCGTCGGTCCAAGAAACACTTTTTAAATAACCATCATTTCCGTTCATTTTTTCCAATTTTGAATTCCTTTTTTGAGTGTGGTTTTAACCTTCCCGTACGACGTATTTTTTTGATCAATAAACTTTTTTCAGAAATATTGGAATGTTCATCAACTTTTAGTAAATTCCTAAACTCACTATCTTCGTCTCTTTCAAATGTTCTCTTCTGCCTATCTATTGGATATTTGTTGAAATTTTTCATAGATTCGATGAAAGGTTTTTTTGCCTGGAACTTGTATTCGGAGGTTAATTACACGTAGTTCCGTTTGACACAATTTAGCCCTCTTATTTGCTTTAACAAACGTTTTCCAGATTAATTAATTAATTTATTATAAAAAGAATATAAGTATCTATAACTGGTAACTGTCTGTATTAGTTATAAACAAACACAGCCACCTAGGATGTAAAATATAAATTCTAAAATAATATTTTAGTTTTGAATGTTGCTTTATACATTCTGATTTTAAAAAATATACACACTGGTTTCTGCGTAGTAAATTAAAAATCAATATTGATAAAACTAAATACATGTTGCTCAAGGAAAAAAACAAAGTAATACAAATACAAGACTAAGTATTAAGAATATAAATATAGAACGTGTTAAACGAATTAAATATTGAGGCCTACTTATCGATGATAGTTTAAACTGGGCTGAGCATATTAATTTTATATCAAATAAAATATTTACCTAATGGTAAGTGTCATATAATAAAAGCCGAAGTTATCTGAATTACGGTAGTAAAATTAATATTTACAGTTCTTATTTTGTATCACATATGATATTTCCAATCCAAGTATTCCAAGCAGTACTTATAAGCTTCCAGAAAGTCTTAGAAATATAAATAAATATATTAAATTTGTAAAACAATTAAAAATTCACTTTAATGTAAATTAAATATAGGTACAATGTATAATAGTAATAATATTAAGTAATGGGCTGTATACTTACCATTTTTTTCTATTTATTCTTTTTATAAAATTTATTATTTGTATTCTTGGGACCAATGCTTTACGCACTGCTTAAAGAATCCTCAATTATTTTTTTGTAACTGTCTATTTAATAAATGAAAATTAAAATTAAAAAAAAAAAAAATTAAAAGCGCATATATCTCAAAAATTATCGGATTCGGGTATAGGACGTATTATACAAGATATGTGCAGAATTTTTCAGGGATTTTATTAAGCGTATATTATACAAGGTGTTCCATTAAAAATTATATCTTGAAAATAGCTTACTATTTTTTGAACAACTTTTGTATTTGACGTTTTTTTCCCAAACGTTAATGACCATCCGGTAGTGTGGATTTACAAATATAACATTAATTTTTGGGTGCTAATTTGAAAGATTTGCCCGCATGGCGCCGTCGTAACTCGCCAAGTCACTAATCCGGCACAAAATTTGGTTATTTGTGGTTTTTTAGCCGCTTCTAGGCATGACAACGCGCTGACGAATGGAGACGTCGGCACATCTAGCGAGAGCGTAGATTTGTCGTCGATCGAGTGTAAGTGTGCTTTTGTTAACCGCCGATTATTTTTGTTTGGCTATAATCCCAGCTTTCGTCGCGTCCTTGAAACTACCCGTTTTGCGGTTAAGATTGTAAACTTTTGTTTAGTTTCGAATGAGCTTTGCGAGGAAATGAGCAAGCAACTTGTGGCGACCGCCGAAGCTGTCGTAAAAATATACAACTGTCTGAAGGGAAGCGAAGAAGCTGAGGAACCCCATCCCGAGGCGATGGACTGCGTCAAAATGTCAATAATCAGAACGCATAAGGTACGTTGCCGATAAATAACTCTTTAAATTCGAACCAACTCAATATTGTCAAACGCCAGCGAAGTAACAAGACACAACTTAATGGGCAACACGGAAGGCAATATTAAGAAACAAGTTTCGAGGTTATGTTCACGAAAATTGACGATATAATAATAATATAAAATAATGTTTATTTCACAATTAGGATACGAAAATGGATAGAATATACTCACTTAAGTTATAATGTATGATCAAAACTGACCAAATTAGACATAGATTTTTAAGATTTTTGAACGTCGAACATATTAAAATACACCATCAACATTGTTAGCTCGACGAAGAAAAATAAAAAATATATACAGCTTCGGAAGTGCTTACCAATTAGGATATATTTTAGTTATGAACTTTACGAAAAGTGTCTCTTCGTATTAAGTTTAGGCTTGGTGAGAAAAAAAACTTTGCACAAGAAATATTTGTATGTTGGGCACACAGGGTGGCTCCAAAAAATAACAGGTTTGAAATTAATAAAAGACGAAAACAGTCCCAAAGACGTGCGGAAAAAAAATATTACCAAAGCGACCAAGAGAAAATAGTGGAACTTATTTTTTCCGAATTTTTCAATTTAAACAAATTGGGTTCTTTGAAAAAAACTTTTTTTTGGTCTATCATTGGGCGTTTTCTAAAGAACTACAGAAAGATAGGCAAGTGAGAAAAGGAATTTAGAAGCCACTTTAAAGTTGATAATAATTTACAAAATTGTTCGTACACCCCCGCCCCATTCCGTATAAAGATAGAGCAGGAACTTTATTATTAGAAAGACGCTAATTTACGCCCTCTGACGAACATTTTAAAAACTTTCAACTATTTTCTCTCTTTTGCTTTTGTAATAGTTTTTCCTCGCAGAGAAATCCCGTACATCAGTTTAGGGGAATCACCGATTACTCTTAAAGTTTTATACTCCTGTTATTCATTGTGCTGAATAAAACTTGTGAATTTACTAGTGTTTGATGGTTAAAATGTTATTCGTGCCATATTGTGACCAGCCTGCCGCTTATGCATGACGGTTATATTGCTTATAAATATTAATATTATTAATTAATTCAATAAACGTTTATTTTTTTTTATTAAAATTAATAACTTGAACGACCGAGATTAACCTTTGATTAACAATAGAAGGTGTCAGTGTAATGGTTAAATTCTCATTTTGTTTACTTTTTGTTATTTCTTTGCAGTATTGCTAATGTGAACTTTTCTTTATTGTCCCAAATACTCCTTTGGTCCCGAGACTTGCAAACTCTACCCGGTACTTTTTGAAGACACCCTGGATGTCCAACATACATTGTTGTGCGAATTTCTTTTCTTACCAAGCTGTTTAGGAAGAAGCACGTTTTTTCTCAAAGTTAATAATCGAAAATTTTCCCATTTGGTAAAAACTTCCGAAGACAGGTTGCATACATATAAAAGAAATACGGAAAAGCAATGGAGAGAAACCAGAACAAGCACATATAAGCAATTAAAAAAATCTTTAAGCTAATAAAAAGCCTTTTTCCGACAGAAAATCATTTGCTTTCTTTCTTCGCTATATTCGCAAACGCTCACAGTTATGTTTAGACTATCCAAGCGTATCGTTGCAAGAGGATGAAGATCTGTCGTAACTGTCTGCCGATAATTATTTTTATTGAAGACAAAGTCTTAATACACTGAGGAACATCTAGTTTCGTGCCACCTCGATATCATTTTTTGTCATTTTTTTTTGTTTTGGTTAGTAGACAATATTTTTCTTCTTAAGTGACGTGTAAAACAAAACACTAACAATTTTCTAAGGTGCAACCTCAGATATATATTTGATTCCACTTGTTTTCGAGATATTGTCTAAATTAGAAAATTTTCATACATTGCCAAAACAACATTGATTGTCCTGTTGTTATATTCTTAAATGTATTATTATTTTAAAATGGATGTTTTGTCAACTTGGCACTTCTTCAAAGACTTGCAGTGCCCAATCAATCATTAAAACAATTAAAGTTTACGGAAAATGTGTTTGCGATCGCAGAATGATAACAGAATTTAACATAAATAATCCTCAATAACTTGTTTTAGTATAATAAAAATCACTTAATTTTGTCCTATTTTTGTCTTTATCTCGAAAAAGAATGTATATACCGCACTGTGCCAATTCTGTATAATTGTCAACACAAAATCCTGCGCAGTCGCTAGTTATTCAAGAATCATCTCGCAAAGTAATCGTCGTAAAGCCTTGGAGTGAAGAAATGTATGACTAAAGCGGCAGAGGCAAAATGCTACAAATTATTTTTAGAATGACCACCAGGAGGCGTATTCGTATTATTGAATTTTAAATCCAGTTTGCTGAGAAATAATCTTATATAACGCATAGCTAAAATGGACTCCATTTTAAGTTCATCCTTTAAGGGTGAGAAGGGGGGTGGGGTCTGCACACTTTCAAAAATAAATGTTAATAACTTCAGAATGGCTGAACACGTTTGGTCAAGATTGCAATTGTTGAAAATGTGCCTTCTCAGGTTTAACGGACTGATGTACATTGCTTCTTTCGCCGCTAGACGGCGTTTTGCGACATCACTACAAGTGAAATTTATTTTCACAAAAAAATTAGGGGTAGAGATATTACTTTTATTGAAACAAAAAATATTCAAGTTAGAGTCTAAAACGCTGGTAAAAATTTGCATTTTAATATAATCTATAATTTCAGTAATAGAAATAACAACTCGAAATGAAGTCGTATCCTTGGGAATATTTTCAGTACACCTGCCATTATTATTCGGAGCTCAACCATATAGTTTTCTAATTCGCTCTGACGAAAATTTAGAAAACCATTACCGTTTATAGTAACGTCGAAGAAATGAAGACCTATTATCCTGTGGTTTAAAAGAGCATAGTTTGACGCCGTTGAAATTAAAATTTCCTGTCTGCTGTTTTTTCGATTTATCACACCACTGGTAAAAAACGATGACTCGTCATTCCGAAAAACATCTCTAGTTGATAACTGTCACTGTCAGTTATAAACAAAGATTTTGCTTTTTGGTGACGACCTACTTCACAGCCACCTAAAATATAACTTATAAATTCTAGAATATTCTTTATTTTTGAATGTTGCTTTTATGTTCAAAGCGCATATATCTTGAAAATTGTTGGGTTTGGGTATAGGACAAAAAATGTACAGAATTTTTAGGAGATTTTATTAAGCTTATAAAATGTATCTGTAGGTGATTTCTACAACACTCTGTATTATAAAATTTTTTCTCGCAAAAAGCTCATCACCGAACCACTTTTATATTGGAGGTTTTTTTGCCAAACGTTAATTAAAAAAGTTACAGTGTGTCCCAAACTGGATTTACAAATATAGTTTCATATGTGGGTGTAACTCGCAAATAACGCTACAAAATTTGGTTATTATATTACAAAAATTATTTTCACAAAAAAATTAAGTGCAATGATATTACTTTTATTGTACGCTGGTAAAAATCTGCATTTTTTGTAATAAAAAAAAGTCGTGTCTTTGGAAGTATTTTCGTTCTTTTAGGTAAATATTCTTTTTTAGTTTTCATTTCTTTTACTTGTAGGTAAGGAAAGAAATGTGGTTTTCACTATCTTGTTAGACCCATATTTGGGTAACTTTTGTTGCAACAAAAGTAACGTCATTGTATTTAATATTTTTGAGAAAATAAATTTTATTTGTAGTGATGCCGCAGGATACCTTCTAGCGGCAATGAGGGCAATCTAAATCAATCCGCTAAGACGGTCTAAAAAGAGTACTTTTCCGAGACCTGTAATCGGCAACAAACTTTCCAAAATAATACAAGTCACACTAAGAAGAATAGATATAGTGTAAGGGTTAACAACAGAATTTAAGTTAAGTTTGAAGATAATCGAGTAGTGAGTAGTATTGTCCAGTCTCTGCCTATAAAAGATCGTAAGGGAGGAAAAAAATGCAATAATTAGTACTTAGGACTGCTTACAAAAAGTAAACAACTCAGAGAAGGATAAAATGTTTGGAAGACAAAGCAGCATCATTTGGTGTAAGCATCAATTAAAAGAAGATTAAGTACGTGAGCTCGGCAGATTAAGAATTTAAAAGCAGCAGGCAGAAATAAAACCTACGTATTCGAGTAAGTTGAAAATTATATTTACCCGGGAACGGTGTTTTCTAGAAAACCCAATGTGACAGACTGATAGCAGGAATGATGCGTTGAATAAGTTACTAAAGAGTAATCTGCCAATGCCGATAATACAAGCAATTAAGAAGGTTATAAGAAGGTCCATTCAACGTGCGCATGCGCCAGATTTAAGATTTCTTTTTTTAAATAATGACCTTGCTGCATTCAACAACCAAGATGGCCGCTTAGAGATCATAAATAAGTTCAGATGTTGAATTTTTACCGCAGTATTTTATCAAAATACTTCTAGGTTTCATTAAACGTTCTGATAAAACGAGCAGTCTGGGAAAAAAGTTACTACATAAGATTCGTGACTGAAAAAGAAAGAGGATGAAATATGGATGAGATCTTTTAGATCTTTGTTACGAACCAGGTATTATAGGATTTGCAAAAGTCAAACGGTTAAGATGAATGGGACACGTCCAAAGAATCCATAGAGATGAAATTCCAAAATTGCTTCTAACTCATTTAATCGGAGGACAAAAAAGTGATCAGAAAATGGAAGGAGAATGAAGAGCGGTTGGTTGGTTTCTCAAAAAACGGGGTTTAAAATTCAAGAGCGTGGTGCGGTGGTTCTAGAAATTCAAAAATAATTTCAACCATTTTCTCTTGGTCGCTTTAGTTGTAAGTTTTTTCTATCGCAAGTATTTACGTCCATCGCTTTTCGAGATAATGCCTAGCGTCCATGTTTCGTAATGGGTGTTGGTACGCAGATGATCCACGATTGCATCCTCAACGAGTTGAAGCAGAACAACGTGGACGTGAACCAGACGGACGCGATCAAGAAACTCAACGATCTGGTGTCGAAGGGCTGCGGCAGCGCGGGATTGGTGATCGAACTGATGCAGCAGTATTCGGACATTTTGCTCGACATGATGCAACAGAAAATACACAGCGCGAACCTTTGATACGGCCACGGCATCTGTTTCGAACTGTCGGTGTGATTCGAGCATCACAAAAGTCGAGATTGCTCAAAAATTTCCATTCTGATTCGAGTTAGAGATTATAGGAATCGCGAGGGGAAGATTTTGCGGTTTACGATAACTAATGATACTGTGATTATTCTACATTTTAATTAAACTAGGGTTAACATATGCGCGTAGTCTCTCGATTAAATTAAGTGCAAGATATCTCGGCTTTAATATCGTAGTTAGGGTGTGTTTGTTATTGAAATTTTTACTACTCGGTTTGTGTATCGCGCTGGAAGCGATATCAAATTGCGCTTCCGACGCCGTGTTCGAGAATAATCGGCAGCTTCGTGTCCGTCGTTTTTCCGCGTCGATTACTAAAATTAAGTACCATTCCATTACAAAAGGGCTGTTATAAAATATAGATTAATTAGAAAGCCAAAACGGTAGGACGATCGAGCCAAACTAGATTGTAAGTACGAAACGTCGAGCGTTCCGTAAACAGGAATTTATTAAAACGTTGTGGAATTGCCCGAGCTTCCAATATTCGTACGTTCCCGTATAGAAACAGGGTGAATTGAAATTGGTGTGACGCTTTGCGAGTGTTGCAGCCGTGTTTGTGACGGTTTCGGTAGAATCATACTTTATTGTCGTCTTATTGTTTTTTTTTTATTTCGAATCGGCTTAATTCTATCTGTTAATTTAAACCAAACGATTTTTAACCTCATTTTACGCCACATTTTTATCTTTTTGTCTATGTTTAAGTCGAAAGTTTTATTGTGTACAGTTCTTTTTTTTTGTTTTGATAAATGGTTTACTTTTAAATTTGATATTTTTTAACCAACGTGCGGCTGAATATGTCAATTTTTTATAGTAATATTAAGTAACTAAACTGATTGTTGAATATTCGTAACATTTGGACTGTATTAATGTAATTTAATAATTTGTAGTTTCAATTAATGAATAAACAAAAATTTACATTTTCGCGGTAGTCATTCATTTTTGTTTGCCTTCCCTAAATGCTTGTGATTAAAAAAATAGTCTTAGCTCTGACGTCTGTAACAAATAGGGACTTTTAGTTATATCAACGTGGCTGCGCTGTTCAACGGAAAATGTCAATTATAGGAGTTATAGGAAAGTTGGATAAACTGATTACTCTTCGTCTTTCTTGGTGCATCTTACCAAAACCAACTGATATTTGACATGTCACGGAAAGAGACCAAACAAAATTTTCATGATTTTGGCTTGCGAATTCTCGAGGTAAAGTCGAAGAAAATGTGGAAAAGCTAGTGCTGGTCGATTATGATTTCATCGACTATGAAAGTCGATTTTCCTGACGTTTTGTCACATGAACTCATGCAACGAAGGCTACAGTAATTCATTATTTCTAGTTTAAAGTATATGCTTTATTACGATCCATTAATATCTTTTCTTTTAGACAAGATAGCACGATTTTGTTTTTCAGAGTATTCTAGATATGCTATATTTTTGGTCGTAAAAGTTATTGGTAAGTGCATACCCTTGGTACAGTATGATTTGGCTGACCCAATAAATGTGACAGCTTGTTGAATGTCTTGGTGTCGTTTAATGTTAAAAAGGGGGCTGGGCTTGATATGATGCGAAACCTGTTGGTGAGGGAATGTGCCGTATCCCAGTAAGACCTAAAGGATGGTTTTGCCAGTGCTGGTTAGAGTCTTCCGTAATACCAGAGCAGCAGCATGGGTTCGTCAATGACCGTTCTAGTATGACGAATCTTTGTAGTCATACTAACTTCGTCGCTGGGGCTCCGGATAATGGCTGTGAGAAGCATTCCATATATACTGACTTCGGCCTTTGATTTGCTGGACTAGGCGTATTGCTGAACAAACTTTAAAAGTTCGGTATTAGAGGTGCATTTCTAACGTGGCTATCAAAGTATCTCCAGGGGCATACTCAACAGGTCAAGGTCAGCTGTTTTCTTTCCCCCAACGTAGATGTAATATCCAGCTTGCCTCAGGGGTCCCATCTGGGCCCAAAATTGTTTCTTCTTCTGTTGAATGATAAAGGACATCATTGTGAGTCCGATTACTCACTTTTTGCAGATGATTTAAAAATTTACCGTTGCATACGGTCGGCTGATGATTCTGATGTGCTACAAAGTGATATTAATTTGCTAGTGTATTCGTGTAAAATGAATAATTTAAAATGTGTAAAATGTGTTTGTATGGTTTTCTCTCGACGTAAAAATCCTGCTGATTGCTCATATAAAATGGATGAGTGTGTGTTGAAGAGAGTGCAAGTAGTATGGTATCATGAATCATTGCGTTTTGGGCGGCTCTGGATTGGAGAACGTCTGGAGATTTTGAGAATTTGGGATGTATTGTCATGCTTAATAGTTTATGTGTCTATCTTGCAATATGGGTCAACAATCTGGTCTCCTTTTTACGAAATTCACAAACACTGAATTGAGGCTGTGCAGAACAAGTTTTTAAGGTATCTGGATGTCATTGAAGTGGGGGGGCTTCATGGACTGGCTACTCAAGGACCATAGAAAATTTCTGAATTTATGTTTTGTCTTTCGAGTGATAAATGGTGCTATTGATTCTCCTTGTATTTACTCAAGTTTTAATTTTCATGTCCCTTCTAGGGAATTGCGAAAAAGTCATCTTTTGTCTCCTGTACCTAGTAATACTCGACGTGCTCAGCATATGCCTTTAAATAGACTAGTCTCCTTTGTAAATCAATACAATACGATTGATTACTTCGATGTTCTTTTAAATAGCTTTAAAATTAAATTAAGATAAATTTTGTTAAATTGATTTGTAAAACTGCCATCTAAATGATGTAGTTTTTTAATGTACATAGTTTAAGTAACCATAAGGTTATTAATATTTAAGACAAATTTGTAAAATGGTGTCACCGTCGAAAAAAAAAATAAATAAATAATAGCAATTCAAAAACCGTCAAAAGGTTTACTATAGTCTTCGATGCATGAGTCAAAATAAAAGACGTGATTGGTTTGTTGAGATAAGTTTCCTAATTTACTATTGTCGAATGAAAATGTCAATTAGGCAATTGGTATAGAATAAACCAGTCGCTCTCTGTAAATCTTGAAAATGCGTGGTACATCGTTTTCTTTCCATACGAAAACAATCTGACATTTGACAAGTCACGGAAAGAGACCGAACAATATGCTGTTAAAGTTGACTTGAGATTTCATGCGGATGCAAATCTAGAAAACCTAATGCTGGTTAACTAAAATTTCATCGACTATGAAAGTCGATTTTCCTGACTAGATATACGCCAGCGAAATTTCAAATAAAAGACGTTCTCTTTCTATGTCAATGTCAAAGAGCGACGAGTTTATTCAGATCAAATTTCCCAATTTCCTATTAGCGATTTTACAATTGAATGAGACCTCTGCTGGAAAAAATATGAAGCCAGTTCGGAGGTCAAATTTATAATGGCAGTATTGTTTCATGTTTTCCTTGTACGGTTACGTGATATGGATAACAAATACAGACTTTCGGTTGTATGAACATGGCCACGCTGTTCAATGAAAATTTCAGTTAATTTATATAAAAATTGGTCTCAATAAATCAGTGGCTCCGTTTATTTTCTGTCCATTCTGTCAAAGCTCGAAGGAAACTTAGAAAAACTCGTGCTGATCAATTAATATTTCACCGACTGTGATAGTAGGTGTTGCTGACTGAATATAGAATGTAACAAATGAACATTCTCGCCACCATCTATCCGTCCATAGCCAAATTAGCCGTCGACCAGAACACCTCATTGAAGTAGATGCGTATAGGCCCGCTAGAGTGAGCCACTGAGTACAAAATTAAAGTAACAATTGGGTGCAGTGTAATTTTGCGTTCTTTAATTTCATTTTAACAGTAAAAAAAACAGTAAATCGCCATGTCAAATAAAATACGTTCCCATTGGTATGTCAACGCCTTTATGGATTCATCCGAGAGTTCAACATTAAAAAGAAAGCTTACCGGAAGTCACTATAGTTCGTATGACACTTGACAAAAATGACAAAAATATTGTTCTCGCATCAATTCCCAAAAACTACACACCACAAAAACTACAGATAACAGAGCCACGAATAATGCTTTATTGTCGCTAATGCAGGTAGAATGATCTGTTCAAAAGTTCAAAGGTAACATGTCAACATGTTTGTTGATAACAAATTAGCGAATATAATCTAATTGACGTTTATGTTGACTCAGGGTAGCCACCTCAATTCTCTTTTTGAATTCAAGGAACTCCTCCAATTAATTATTTTTATTTATGTATAAATTTAGGACACTAGGTGGCGCTACTAACGGTCGAGAGATTATTGGAGATTATTTTTGTTCACTTTTCTAATCCAACTTATGAGGGGAATAAGTTTAGAAACGCCTTACCAGATGCATAAATTGGATTGATTGATTTAATTGTGTGTAAATATGCGAAAGTTCGGAACCAATGTTTATTTACAATATCGATCTTATAAATTTGTTACATTAGGTGGGTAGGACTGTTGTAGCGTAACCTCATCGAAGTCTAACATGTTTTTACAATAATTAAGAGTCAATTGAAAATTTTTATCGGTAAATGCTCTAACTATATGCCTAAACGAGCTTTACTGTACAGGGTGTCCCAAATTTGAGGGGGACTATTAGGATCCCGAAAACCCTAAGAGATACGAAGTCGGTTAAATAGAGATAAAGTTGCGACTTTGTATGCCCATCATCAACTTTTATTTTTTTTAAATCCAACAATACATGCAAATTTTAACAATTAATAATGTAGTAATTAGTTACCAAAGTAAAATCTGATTAAAACTCTAATATTTAACTGACACGTTGCAATAAGAGTGATTTGTTTCAGTTGTAGTCCTCCTCGAATTTGGGACAACCTGTACATCAAAATAGGCTTTTATCCTAATATTTACACTCGAAAATGTCGAAGAGCTCTGTATTTTCTTCGTATTTTACTGTTCCTGACCCGCACATGGTACATGATGTCAGTATACTGTCTGATACTTGCACGCAATCAATAAATGAATCTATATATGATGAAACAATCAAAACAGACAACAAAAGCTAAGAGGTCAAAAATAAAATAACAAAGGGTAAGGATTGTTGAGGTGCGAGCGTCTTAGGTACCCTTGTAAGAGTAAGTCATTTGCTTGTTTGTGTCCCCCACTATGTCGATGTCGCTTTCGCAGTCGCTCAAATCTGAATTGGTCCCTGACATACTGGGACTGCTCGCCGCCTTGTCCCTCCTCGATATTTGGGACATGTTTGGCATACTGTTTCCTAAAAAAAAAAACTAATAAAGCACCCATACTTTAGTATTAAAAATATTATTTATGGACAACAAAAAGTTACCTATAGTTAGTAAAAATTTTATTTTTACTATACAATGTGTCTGATGGTGCTGGGAATTCGGTCTTCATTTCATAGCGTGTCAAAGTAATATATTTCGTTTAGTATTTGTTTTAGAGAATTTTAAATACAAAAATTATAGACGATACTAAAAGAAATAATTTAAAATTATAAAATACCCTGTATAATATAGTGTATACCTTTCTTGAAGCTAGTTCGAATCGTTTATATATAAAAATATTAATATGCTTGAAAACATCAAATGGAAAACCCTGTATACTAATTTGTCCTCTTTCAATTTTATTAAGCAATCCCTATACCTAAACAACAAATTTATTGAGAAAAATAATACAAAATTGACACGGCCCAAATAGTATAGGTAACGTACATTTTTATTGTCAACCTGCACTGGCATGGCAAACTTAGATTTGCATGGCCAACTTACATTTGTACTAAAAGATGCGATCTGAAAACATTATGTTATAGTTCATATTTTAGGCCTTTTTTTACAAAATTAAAAATTGTATTATTTATTTTTATTTTTCTGACTTATTGGGATATTTTCTCATAATTTGACAAATTCTCGGAGTTTTGTATACGTATACCATCTAAAGGAAAAGTTTAGGTAAATGTTTAATAAAATTGAAAGAGTATTAACATAAAGAAATTAATGAAAGAATAATATACAAGGAGTTCCATTTGATTTTTTCAGAAAAATTATTATTTTTTATTTTGATTCGGACTTTGGAAGCGACGTCAAAAATTTAGGTTATTAAACACAGGAAATTGTTGACGAAAAATGAATATAACAACCCTACATTAAGGGATTAATTATAAAAGAAGGTATCTACTAATGCAATAATATACATGTTGTTCCATTTAATAATAAATATATAAACTTGGTTTCACAGATATTTATGAATGACCTTCTATATTTGAAAATAATTATAAATTGTTTGTTTTAGTTTTATCCATAACTTTTACATTTAACATTTGTTTCTAAAACAAATAATAAGTAAGATATATTTCTTTGACACACTATTTAGACACCCTGTATACGGGGTCGCTTCAGGAAGTTATGGTACACTTGTTTATTCTTCATAATTTAACGCCCTGTACATTTTTACTTATTCTTATTGATTTTGTTTTCAGCTTATCAAAAATATACAGTCGTATATGAATATTTTGAAAAATAAAGCTTAAATTTAAATTTGTGAAAATATTATATTTTTTGAACAGTAAGCATAATTTCGTAATTCTGTATATTTGTCTAAAGCCTTGAGGAGTTGGAGTTATAGGTATTATTCCGAACTAGTAAAAAAAAATTTCATAAAACAAAGTCGGTAAATCATGGGATGTAAGAGGTCATTCAACAAGTCAGTGCATTTCAGTCTAGAGTTGAGGGAATTTTGTTCCTAAATATGAACACCTGCACTGTACCCCCACGAGCATGCGACGCATTCAATCATCTTCTTCCTTAGACACGTGGTCCGGACTCGTAGAATATCAATCGTCATAGTTGGTCGGATAATGTCGACAAATGAAGAAGAAGATATGTTTTTGTTTGAGATTACTGACAACGCTTGATTTGATATGACATATCACATTGAAAATCATGGCTTGCTGTTACTGTTGACAACTCATCAGCTCATATGTCGAACGGGATGAAAAAATAATCATCTCAGTAGGCTAGTCGTGCCGGTTCTGAGCCCTTTTTGACATTACAGAGATGAAACACATGACATGATGCCCAAACAATAAAAGTTAATATCTCAAAAAGTCTATATCAATAGAGTATCAACCTTTAAGGGTCCAGCGAAGCTTTTTATTAAGATACGAAAGATCGCCCCGACATCCTTCCTGCTATCCCCCGCACATTAAAGGACTTCTCAGACTGGGAGAAGTAAATTAGTAAAGCGCCCCCCGCCCCTCGATCGCCCAAGTCGCGCAACATCTTAAAACATCAATTAGGGGCGAGTTCACGGCGTAACGAACTAAATTAATACCTAAGATGGCGACCGCCCGCTTCTTCCAAGACTTCCGACTTGGAAACAAAATTAACCGAGTTAAATAGCGGGGAAAGGCGGGGATCACTGAGGATCGTCTCTCCATTTGAAGGGTTATATTGCGGACCCGTTTGAAATTTTAGATGAACGACAAGCATTTCACAGTCGGCAGAAATCGTGAAGTTGATAAAAGTGGTGTCAGCCGCAATGAATCTGTTCACTCCACAAGATAAGTTTACAAACAGATCATATAAAAACTCTGACGTATCATATCACATCACATTGAAATCAATCAATGGAATGTGGTTCTGAAGAAGGATGAACAATAAGATAGACGAAACGTCAGCAAGATGGATTTATCAACGACCGACGCAATAGGAATGCAGAGCATTTTTAAATAATCTTACAATGATCTGTGGAAGTTTCTTTGAAAAAATAAGCTAAAGTCTGTCTGCAAACTATGTTTTCCCTTCACCGAGTATTGTTGTAATAGGATGCAGCAAACTCAGTTCATGAAAATTTGGAATTTATGTTTACTGTGAAGTAGTTGAACAATATAGGTACAGTACAGCAGCATAAGCAACGACTGTAAAGAATCGTGTTCTGTATATTTATAGTTTCTGGGCCTATTTCTGCTTTTAGAGCCATAAGCTCTCCTAAAATAATGTCAAAAATGTGAATTCCTTTTCTCTACTTTCTCTAGTTTTCAATCGCCTGCGTATTTAATCAAAACCGTCTTTTGATTTAATCAAAACTGTTTAAACTGTTAATTGTCTTGCCAAGACCAAACTGACTAAGATGCCAGGTTGGAAAAAGTTGTTTACATCAATGACCAGCACATTCGAATTTCTCCTGCATTGTGTATTAAATCTGTCTCGCACCAAATGTGATGCTGGGTTCCTTAGAGTGCTGTCTGGAACTCATTTGATGATTGCTCTGTACGACCCTTCGATACCTGCCGGGTAGAATCGATTGGTAGGGGGGGAGGGGGCTTTAATTGTTTCGTGGATGACGGAATCCCAAATGAAAGACAGACAGAAACCTGTGTCGCGGTTGTGCGGTGTTTGATTATTTCGATACACTCACGAATTTTTCTTGTTTAATTATGGTTCTACGTTTTTCCAGAATTTTTGATATTTGATGGGTGACATTTTGAACAGATGAAATTGTTACTGTGGCAAACGGAAAGTCGTTTGCAGAGTTGCTTTGTGTAAGTGGTTTTGCGAAACTGTATTTTTTAATTGGTCGTCTGATATCTTGAAAGCCAAAATTGTTTGATAGAAGAACTGAGGTGAGATGGCAAGAGGTATGGGTTGGGACAGAGATGTTTCCCGGAAAACTAAGGAATTGATTACGTATGAAATTAATATTTGAAGAGATTCTTAGCAGGTAACGAGAACATCACCTACATATCTCTACCACATTTTCAGCTTAAGGTGGAACTTGTCAATACCTAGTTTTTCAAAATGTTGCATAGCAGTATTAACGATGACAGGGGAAAGTGGAGAAAAAAAAGCTGTTTCTGTTATTTGTTCGTAAATTGGTCCGTTACACGTCAAGTATATCCCAGATAGACATTTTTCGTTTAAAATTACAAGGTCTGCAGGGAGGTTATCGGATTTTATTATGTTTGAGACGATGCTATGTGTTTCAGGAACAGGAACTTTAGTAAAGAGAGATTCAATGTCAAAAAGTTAAGTTCTCGAATAAGATGAAAATAATTAAGCACAAAGCTGGAACGTTTTAAAATTGAGGCTAGATATTTTGCTAACGTTGGTGAACCGATAGTGCTAACCATATATCGAAAAGGTAGATTTGTTTTGTGAGTTTTGGGAAGACCGTAGAGTCGAGGAATATTAGAGGCTTGAGGAAACTTTAATGACAGGGACTATTCCGAAGCAGTGGAACCTCTAAATATTATGACATAGTGGAATGACTACGATCATTCTCCCAGAGTTGATGTGCTGTGACTATGAGTTGTTTGAACTTCTAAATGGCATTTTAAGACGTCATATAAATTGAGGAAATTTGTTCTCATCATAAAGCCAGTGTGGTTCGTTCGTTCGTTTTATTTTACTGCATGGGCATCTAGCAACTATATGGAATGACCCTGTATTAATAATCAATGTCGCCGTCGTTGGTAAGATAAGGAAACTGTTCCCTAATTGCCAAATAGACGTCGAGTCGACGGCCGTCGCCGCCGCGCCGATTTACGTCCTATAATGCTATTTTAACGACGTCCCGCGGGGATATCTGCTATGTAGACCGGTGACGTTAGCAGCTTTAAGCCGGATCGTCGCAAAGTAATTGTCCATTTTAATGAGAGCCGGTCGGCGTTACGGTAACACAAAATTTGACAGTTAATGGATTATTATTAATCGTTAATATATCGTGAAAGTCTCCGAAAAGGTGATAATAGACACTTAATTAGAGTTTTGATGAATTTGTTGATTTTTCACGAACAATGTGGCCAAATAATAGCAACAACATGGGGAAAGTTGAATAAAATGCATTTTGACTTACAACCAACGAACGAGAAAATATTTGAATAATCACAAAATAATTCCACTATTACTATACAAATACGACAAAACGGCTTTTGGGAAATAGTGAAAAAGGTGTGTGTAATAAAATTAATGCTAACAAATATGCCAAATGATCCAATATTTACATAAACTTGCTTTCTTTTTGGGGTTCTTAATATTTATTTATTTGTTTATTTGATTGCAATCAACAGGATTTCACAACCCAATAACAGACACACACAAAACTTACATTAATAAAAAATGAAAGTTCCTTCCATAAACCAAAAAAAAAAAATCACAAGCGCATAAGCAAATACATACTTATGGAAGTGAAATTTACTAAACACAATACTTTAGGTTTTAAATGCTAAGTTTTGCGTTACAGTTGAAACTTACGAGAAAAGAATAAACATTTTTTTCTATTTCCTATATGTGTTTCGAAGTTCATTTTTGTGTCTAAAGTTACACCCAGATCTTTATTTTGCTTTTGTGTGGTTAATATTATATTATTCAGCCGATAATCATAATGTAATGGATAATTGTTTGGTGTAAACGTAAACTGAAAATATTTTTCTGCTTTAAAAGATAACTTGTATTCATTGGCCCATTCTTGTGCTTTGTACATATCCTCTTGAAGTAAAAGACAATCTTCTAAATCCTTAATTACATTATAAAATTTGAAGTCGTCTGCGAATAATTCACACTCAGAATTCTGAAGAAACAAAGCAAAAACAGTGCACTCAGATTCGACCCCTACGGAACACCTTAAAATGGGACAAATTATCTACACCGTATACCACCACGTGCATTATTCTAGCATTCAAGTACGATGCACATACCTTAGAGACACCAAAAGCATCGAATTTTTTTAGGAGTACAAACGATACAACTCGATCAAACGCTTTTGAGAAATCTGCAAATATAACGTGTATGTCTATATACTTGTTTATGGATCATTTATGGATTAATTTATTTTATGCAAAAGCTGGTTAAGTCATCTTCTCGGCTAGATGCAGTACTCCTGATATATGAGAAAATATACAAAATGGTTTTAAAAAAAAAAACTTGCCACTGGTCAATAATCATTAATTTGTAACTTTTTCCCACTTTTATGAATTGGGTAAACTTTTGACCATTTCCATTCAATTGGCTATTCTTTGGTTTAAAGAATAAGATTAAAAATTATTTTTCATGGTCGTGGAAACTGACTTTTTAGGCTTCATTTTTTTAGTGGCATCTGAAATATCTTCATCCGAGATAGAATCAGTTTTCAAGATGTGATTAGCAATCATTATATTTATCAAAGATGTTATGCTTTCACGGCCAGAAACTACATTACTAAATATTTCCGGGCTTTTGAGCCGTGGTCCCGAGATTAAACTCGACGTTTCGTCTACAACTGCGGTAGACATTTTCAAGAGCGGCGATGCGGTAACGGTCGAAGTGTTCTTCCGTACTGTTCTCCGATGACTGGTTGGTTGACTGGAAGATCTGCCGTATTTAAGCGCGCTGTAGTGGGCGTGACCTCGGTGGCGGGCTTGGGTTGAGCTTTTTCTTCACCAGGGATATACCGCATTCCGTGTTCCTGTGGCTCGGTATATATAGGTACCACAAAGAGAAGCATTGAAACTAGGCTAAAGGAACATAAAAGGAACTGCCGGCTTGGACACACGGAAAAATCAGCAGTGGCAGAACATGCTTTTTACAAAGGTGACCATCGTATCATGTTCAAAGACACGCAGGTACTGGACAAAACACCACATTTTTATCCACGTCTTATCAGAGAAGCTATTGAAATTCAAAAACATCAGAATAATTTCAATAGAAAAGAAGAAGGTCTCAATATCAGTAAAACATGGACTCAGGTCATCAACAAAACAACGTGTTTACCCAGACAAGCTCAACCCAAGCCCGCCACCGAGGTCACGCCCACTACAGCGCGCTTAAATACGGCAGATCTTCCAGTCAACCAACCAGTCATCGGAGAGCAGTACGGAAGAACACTTCGACCGTTACCGCATCGCCGCTCTTGAAAATGTCTACCGCAGTTGTAGACGAAACGTCGAGTTTAATCTCGGGACCACGGCTCAAAAGCCCGGAAATATTTAGTAATCATTATATTATTGCTGAGTTCTGTATAATATGCAGATTTTGTATTCTTATATACATTTTTAAAATAATCTGCAAATTTATTTGCTGTCTGAAGATTTCCGTGAATCTGTTCTCCCTCAAAGAACATCGAGCCAGGCAGACATCTAGAGCCCGAGCGTGAGTCTTTAGAGAACCGCCAGAAACAAGATATATGATCTGAATGATTTTGTGTTTCAGAATAGTTCATAAAATATGGGGACTTTCATTTTAATAAGTAAAATTAAAATCTATAGCTAGAAATTTAGCTCTGTCTATAATTAACTTCTCAAAGCCCGACATAGATAGGAAGATTTAAAAATATCAAAGTTGATGCTACTTTTTAAGAAATTACACAAACTTTAAATAAATAAACAATTAAATAAAGTAATAGTTTGTGGGGGTTATTGTATAACTATGCAAATATCTCAAAAACGGGATATGATGAAAGATGACAAGACGGAAGAAGAAAGTTACGGCATAAAATAACGAGATTTCAGAGCGTAACTAGCGACCTCTACGTATTATTATTATGCGAATAAGTAGATTGTATTACTTTTTGCAAAGCTTCTGGATTCCTCCTGCGTCGGTTTTTCCTGAGTCGAAATTGCTGACGTTTCGCCAATCATCCTGTTGGTTTCTTCAGAGCTTGACTGAAACTGGCTCGTGTTTTACTCTGTATCTGTTTATATATTGTTCGAGGGGGGCGCTAATAAGGGGTATAAACACCGTCTTGGATGACCGATTCCCAAGTCGTCGTGGTTAAAATTGTTAGCTTGTTTATAGATTTCTATAGACTCTCGGATTTTTCGTTGTTAGAAGAACTGATTACATGCAAGAATTTTAGTTTTATCCAACAAAATTTTATGCCCGGTTTCATGAGTTTGTTCGGCAACAGCTGATGAGTTTATTTGTCTTAGTCGCAAGGCTCTTTCGTGTTCTTTGAGCCTAGTTGATATTTTTCGTCCGGTCTCTCGAATTTATTCTTTGCCGCATATGCATGGAATGCTGTAAATTCCTGGCGTCTCAGCAGATATTGAGAGATTTTTGGACAAGTGGTGAATCTGGTTTTGACGTTATACTACTTTAGAACTTTAGATATGTGGTCAGTGATGTTTTGAATGTAAGGAAGGACCACAGTGGCAAGTGTAGGATTGTTTTCGGCCTCATTGCTATTGGAAGGTTGGGGTGAAGTGTATTTTTGGATGGAATCTTTAATGTGGAAATTATTAGAGAGAAAAGCAGAGGTAAGGTGTTAACAAGAGAGTTGATAACCGATGATATTTGGGCCGAATGGTGATGTGACCATGCATTAAGGTATAGGTCTGTGTGCGTAGGTTTTCTGTAAACACAATGACCCAATGTTAGGTTTGATTTTCTATTGATAAGAATATCTAAGAATGGCTGCCATCAAGGGGTACAGGCGTATCAATAGGGCACTTGCCTTTTTCAACAGAGCAAGGAATGCTCGAAAATAATGAATCCAGCCATCGATTCATGTTATTGCACACATTGCAATATTGTTTAAGTCTTGTTGCTTCTGAAATGGTGAAGTGAATCTGAGAGAGAGTTTAAAATGAAGCAATGAAGTCGCCAAGAATTATGATGAACGGCCCAAAGGAAAAACATTGAACTGAAAACATCGACCCACAGCAATCTTGGAACCGACAAAATCAACATGTTCGTTATTCGCAATAAGCAGCACCCCACCTCCCCTAGACGGACGCGCTATAAAGTTCTTAAAACTGCGATAGACCGTATATTTATCGGGGAAGATGCAGCCAAGTCTCAGTAAGCCCCACAATATCGAATTCAAGAGGTAGTATTACCGATTTCAGGAGTTTTCAGATGTACCAACTTAACAAAAAAGGACTCAAATCAGAACAACGGGTGGGCCACACTTAAGTTATTCCGCGATCAGGGCGTATTTGCAAATTATTGAGCAAAATGTCTAGAATTCTATTTGGATCTGCCAGTTAAAGTGGTAAATTTCGATCTCTTGTTGTTTTAAATATGGTTTATTTTTGTGGTAGAAAATTAGGTGAATGTTTTAAAATGCACATTTATGATTGTCACATGATATGTTTGATTTATTTTTCTGTATATTTTTTTATATCGGCATTTCTGCAATGCTATACTGAACTACGCCTGTATGCCTAAATTTCCTATAAAATGTATATTCACTTAATGCATTAAAGACCTCTATTATTATTGTTATTATTAATATTATTCTAATGAAAAAGATTTATGCCACCTACCGCAGTTTAATTTGTCGACGGCCTCGTTGTTTTTCTTGAACGCGGACGATGAGTTCGCCTTTTCTTCTTGCAGCTTCCTCATTTGCTTTTTGTGTTTCATCCGACGATTTTGGAACCAAGTTTTCACCTGCGTCTCGCTGAGACTCAGAGCGCTGGCGAGCTCGACGCGTTCGGGTGTGGAAAGGTACCTTTGGGCGGAAAACCGTTTTTCCAAGCCTGAAAACGACGAAAAAGGAATTTTGGTGCGAACGAGCGAAAACAAGATCATTCCACAGGAGGACAAATCATACTCGCCACCTAGAAATTTTGGTCAAGTTTGATGTTTTATATATTTTTTTATTTTTCAAAAAAATTACCGCAGGCTGTGGAATTTGTTTATACATGCGCCGGTTGCTTCGAACGCACTTTAAATATCTGCCTTGTAGGATCGAATAATAGGGGGAACTTTAATTGATTCATGGATGAGGGAATCAATATATCAAACTGATAATTGAAAAGTACACCATGTCCAGATAAAACGATTCACTATACGATCTGGAAACCTATAGCAGATACGTACAAAAGTTTCTTGAACTCTCTTAAAGATTTAAAATATTATAATTTTGTCGATACAGAGTGTCTCAAAAGTGTCCCTCTTCTTGTTATTTTAAATGGAACACCTTGTAGATTTCGACATTTTTTGAATCCTTGATCAAAATAAAGGCCACTTTCTTAAGGAATTCCTATTCCTATTGCTTAGTTTAGGCAGAAATTGAGGTTTGTGTTTTTTTTTTTTTCATATTTAGATTGCCCCATAGGTGTTGCGACGCTACTGATCCAGGTATTGCAACGAAAATTTGACCACAGACTACGGAGATCATCAGCTTATACAGGGTGTCCCAAAAGGTGGTGCCGTTTTGACGAATTCAATTAGCAAAATCTCAAGATTTTCAAATGGAACAGTAGAAAACTACATTTAAAAATAACAAAGATGATAGAATCTAAACACTTTAAAAATACTGATTTCCGATTGCAATTTTTCATTAAAATTAATTTTTCAATAAACCAGACCATTGTTAATTAACAACTTTTTCCGGCACTTCCTTTATCATTGCAAATTAAAAAAATATTTAAATAATTGCCACGCCATTTTTTATCTTCGTAGAGTCTTTCTTGAATACCCATAAAATACGATAGTGTGATAAAAAAGTTTAAATAAATTTAATACTTTGTTAATAATTACTTTTTTAATCATAAATGGCAGTCCCGCAGTTGTATTTTTTTTAAATATTGAAATAGTTCATTTGATTATAAAAAAATTATAAACAAATGAAGCTAATTTTTTTTTAATTTATTATTTATTAATTTGTTAACTTGTTTGTTAATATATGAAAATATTTTTTCCAACATTATGGTAAATTTTCTTTTTTTTTGTTAAAACAAAAGTAATTATAAACAAAGTATTCAGTTTCAGGAATCCGAACTTTTTTTTAGTAGATTTTCTCTTCATTTTAAGGATATTTTTTTCAAAATCCAAAAAAAATTATTAGTTTACGAACTATAAGCAAAAAACTAGACATTACTTTTAACATCTATAATTGTTTGAATTGAATTTTTTAATGTACCAGTCCACTTTTTTCGCACAATGATCTAGATATTCCATAATTCCGAATCGAATGTAAACTCATTAACTAGACTATTGTTAGTTTTTAGAGAAACAGATAAAGAAAATAAGTGATTCTGTAAGATAAGTGTAATAATTCTGTTGAAAAGAAAATGCTTGTTTAGGTCGCTTCATTTACATAGATATACAAATACAGGGAGAGAGCTCTTTACGATTATTTTTAATGTTATTTGATGTTTCTTAGGGGTACCTACTAAAATTCTGTAAACAGGTGTTACAAAGTTTCTGCTTGAATTATATTCTTCAAAGTGTGTAGTTCACTTTTGCATATGGTTTCATATTTGACAAATTTTTGTATTTTCTGTAGGCACGTACTGCTTTTCAAATCAGCAAAGTTCAAAATTTCAAGTAGAACGAAGTTTGTATTAAGAGAACACTAAACTTATTTATGGAAGTTAAATTTTTGCCTTTGAATATAGCAAAAAGGTGGAAAAAATTAACAGAAATAAAAAACATTTTGAAGAAAATAAAAATATTTGTTTTTTTATGGCTTCAGTTTTAAAGACACCACAAAACAATAAAAACGTTCTGGTTAAAACAAATTTATCTATGGGTCGCCCGCGTTTGATGTTCGAAAATAAGTCGTGTAGGTCACAGCAAAGGGACGGCTGAAAAGCATCAACGTGACCCAAATTTAATGGTTACTGAAGGAAGTAGCCTTAGCAAACCGCCAAAAATGAGACGCTTTCTATTTGTTTGGAAACAAGCTAAGGAGAAATTGCGATATTCACCCAAATCATGAAAACATTATACAGGGAAAGAGGAATGTCGACAAAATGTGATTCAAATTTCGAAGACAATTGCACCTGTTCCACTTTCAGCTTTGCTCATTCACACAATTTTTTGAAATTGCACTAGCATAAGAGCTACCATGATTTGTAGTTTGTTTTGACAACAGTTCTGGCCATTGTAATTATAAGCAAATATTTAGCAACTTATACTGTTATCACTATAGCATATTTGTTACTACAGTCCTTGTCCTTTGGGATATACCTACGCCACAATCTACTCGTACTTTGTAGGCCGCTTAAAATACAGTACACAAAACAAAACAAAAATGACGTCTTATAAGAGAAGGCACAGTTCGACAAACAGAACAATAATAGAAGTTGAATGCATGCAAAATAATCCCAAGGTTGTCATGAAGGTTAAACATTTTAAATCTGCCATTTTTACGCTCAATCCAGACTCGTTACAATTTGGGACTTACACTGTTGGAAAAGATTTTTAGAATATGTGCTCAATATGGAAACAGAATTTAAATTCAAGTACGGCAAGTTAAAGGAGAACCTAACAAACTTGTTATCAATGAAAGGAAAAAAATCGTACACGTGAACAAACCAAAACCAAGTTATGATTAAAGCGATGATGGTAACACCGCAGGAAGAGCTTTTGGAAAGCCAGACATTATTGGTTACCTCTTGATCTTGAAAAATTTGTAGGCCACTAACGAAGACAGGAACATTATTTGCAACGTTATATCCTTGGTTCCTCATGCGATACCGTTGACTGATTACGTTGACAGATTACTGTCAAAAACGGTTTTTCTGCCTCACATTCTTACAAAAATAGAGTCAAACCTGCAGATATCAGCGCAAAAACATCTGGCTCACATCTCTTATGAATAGTGACCTTTTCTTCTCAATTTCGATCGAATTCTAAGATACTAAAACATCATCAAACGAACAACCATCAACTTAAAAATCGTCTTTCTTGGACCAATAGTAAATTTTCCTCCTTGCTTTCAAAGAATCAAAGTCCGCTTTTCTGAGACATACTGTAACTAATGCGATATTAAAGTTGCAGATATCAGTTTAAAACTACAGTTTCTGTCTCAAACAGTTACATTTTGTTATCAATTTGGATCAAATTCCCGACAAAATCACCATCTTTGGCTCTTATTGTTACAAAAACCCCAAACAACCAGCTTATTATATTATTAACATTAATATTATATTAATTAATTAATATTAATATTAATTTAAAAGCACTTTTTCTGGGTCACAGTTTCCGTCCATAAAGTTTTGGTTAGTGCATTGTAAGCAAATAATTGAAAATTGTTTAGTGAGTGTCGGTTACATTGGTGAAGATGGTGATGAATCAAGAAATAAACTTTACAAACAAGATCGTTTACGTTATGCCAGAAAAGCTAGCACAGAAGTATTTGGCGAGGTCTAGATCCCTCAGATCCTCTTATTTCCAGTGCCGTCTTTTGTTCTAGAAAAATAAATCTTAAAATAAACATTCTTCTATCAGAAGTAATTGGGTGACTTAAAGCTTTTAACTTAGAAACTTCTTTAGCTTTAGCTACTAAAGGCATGAAACATAAAAAATGAACCAAATTTAAATTTTCAAAACCGGAAGATATTTTAGATATTAGAGCTTTAGAAACTTTAGAGTGATCATCTGAAATGAACTTTTAAATCTATATCGTTTTTGTCACCATTTGAATCAAAAATAGGAGACAAGTAAATTTAGTTGTAGATTAATATAATGTAATCAAATTTTTAATTTCAATCATTGAATCTCTATAATTGTAAATATATTTTTTTAAATAAACTTCAAAATATGTTATTCAACTTAACAAAAATATACTATTTACAAATCTTCTGGATTGCTTCTGCGTTGGCTTTTGATAAATCGAACTCAATTACAAAATATATTTCACTACAACCTCCCAACGAAAGTGGGTCCGAATACAACCGCACATTTGCCACTATGGTCCTTCCTTACATTCAAAACATCACTTCGATGTATTAATAACAAAATTTCGTTCTGGCTAAAAGAACAAGAAACTTTTAAGTCAACGATAAATAAACTCATAATCATCAAACCGGATATATCAAATCATATGTTGATGTTCATGCCCCTCTTTTAGATCCACCCTCCTCAAACGGTAAATAAGCAGGTACAGAGTAGAATGTACAAACCAGATTCAGTTAAGCTCTGAGAAAGTCAACAACGTGAATGAAAAATGGAAGTAAAACAGAATAAATGATTATAAACTGGCAACGAAATCGTGCAAAAGAATTATTATAATTTATATTTTTTGATTGCCTTACAATATATATATATATATATATATATATATATATATATATATATATATATATATATATATATATATATATATATATATATATATATATATATATATATATATATATATATATATATATATATATATATATATATATATATATATATATATATATATATATATGATGACACTATATTCCGGGATATCATCCGTTCGCTCGTTGAACTCCGACTGGGATCCTGCATCCGACTGGAATCCTGCAAATCTTGCATCCGACTGGAATCCTGCAGACGTTTCGCCAAAATCTCACTTGGCATCTTCAATGCTCGCGCTCCGAAAACACTTCGAACACTCATATATATATATATATATATATATATATATATATATATATATATATATATATATATATATATATATATATATATATATATCCCGAGTGGGTTGCTGCTCCCATACCGGGCGCCTCCCCAGGTGGTGGATAGGTGGAATTGCTTCCCAGATATGGGTGGT